GTTAAATCTGAGATGCATGGCCCTACATGCTATCAGTGTCTGTGATATGGTGTAATATTGAAGCCCTAAAAAAATGTGTTTCAAAATGATCATGAAGTGCCTCAAAAAAGTAAAAATCTTGGAGTAACCGGTAGTGTATAAGAACCTATTTCGATTTCCAATCATAAATATCTTGATAATCAGACAGCCGATCGGCTTGTAAAAGCCATTGGATTCCTAACTGACCTAAAGGTTTATAATTATGATTGCAGCATGAGCTAAATCCAGGATTTTGTTTCAGAATCTGAGGTAATATTACAGTCACTTTAACAGTGTTCTTCTCTTTTGATATGACCATTTATGTTTTTATTTTTGGATGAAGTACATGAAAAACAGATAAACAATTAACAACTTTAATTATTCATACCCTTTTCAAGTATGTACAAAATGTATTTGTCCAATTTACATTTCTTGAGAATGAGGCATATTAAAGCTATAAAACTAAGGCCCTAATTCATTTTTTAGTAACAAAAAACACAAAAAATATCAAATTTACAAGATGCATGAATAATTCCATTGTTAACTGTATGTCGTATGGGACATATTGCAAGGAATAATCTATTGGAATAAAATGAGAGCCTCTATCTCCCTCCCTCCTCCCTCCCTCCATAGACCGGTAGTGGTAAAATTGCGGTCCAACAGAAATATATGTCCAAATGTTGAAGTGCATTCGCGATATCTATCCAGGCCGGATCGATATGATAATTTAGCAAATATATCGATTAGTAGGCGGTTTTCCGGCAAAATTTGTACCGGTATTAGTCAAAACATATTCTTTCACATGATTTGGTAATAAGAGCTTTCATTTCAATTTTTGAGAGGGGGCGTTTCCAAAACTGGTGTATACCTTTAAAATAAACAAACGTACATGTACAGAAAAAAATATACAGAGCGACAGGCAAATTCATAAGGCAAAAACCTTTTTATTCATTTCAAATGTTATCTGTAATTTTTTTTCAATGTCTTTTCGTTCACACAAATTCACTTTGTACAGAAATTCTTATCAATTCACTTTTCAAATAACACCCAACTAAAATGAAAATCATATATAATACAAAAGACATACAATTCAAATCAAGTATTTTCTAACCTCCCACTCCAACAAGTTTGGTCTTATAATATGTCTACTCATAACCACATCTTAGACAAAAGCCTTGGGTTTAGCTAACTTTTTTGGAATCTTGGCTCATATTTATTGGAAATAGCCAAGTAAGATTTGGGGATCACAGGACCTTTGTTTCATCTCATGAAAATACATGTATGTCGTAGTACCTGGAACTTATTATCATTGTGTTGATTTACCAAGGACAATAAATAACGCTTACATGACCAGGGGGTATTTTACAAAGATCCTAAGTCGAACTTAAAACATTATGGATCAACATTTAATGCCTTATAAAATAACTTTTACAAAATAACTTTTACAAAATAACTTTTACAAAATAACTTTTACAAAATATTTGTATCCTAACTGTTAAGTCCAACTTAGAGATAATTTCAACTGAACCCTCCCCCCCCCTGATAAAATTGAATTTTATCCCCACCTTTTTGGTGGTTTGGGGGCAGTTGAGTCACTATAATATGTAAATATATTGAAAACGTGACAATAGTCAAGATATGAAAATGGCTGATTTTTTTTATTTTTATAACCTACATGCATTTGACTACCGGTACACAATGCTTTCACGACTTCTTCCAAGCTAATATCAAATATTGGGTCAATCTTGTAGTTTGCACTAAAGATAGTTTTACCTGTATATTCAAATAGATGGCAGTTTACCAACAAGCTAAATTCTTTTACTAAAAACCACATTTCTTGTACATGTACTGTCCTTTTTCAATTACAAAACCAGGAACCTAGGGAGTTTTATTATTGTCCTTCGAAGACTGACATTAACAAGTAACTCCTATTCATCTCATCAAACTTAAATTCATCCTCTTCATAGTACAACTATGAACATGTAACTGTTTTTTGTAACACAATATGAATATGGAATGATTCAGGGCACTGTTACTACAGATAGCAACCCCAGTAAAACGGTTTGCATGTAGGACTACAACAAGACATACTGTACAATGAATACTTCTTCAGTAAAACGGTTTACAGGTAGGACTGACATACAATGTATAATTAATTGAGTTCAAATGTAGAAACACTTCAAGTCTGACTGAGAAAATGACGGATAACAAAATTGCATAAGATTGCAGCATGATGAGACACAACATTTGGTTATTACTTAAGTTGGGTTATTTAGGACTTTGGAAGGTTTGTGGGTTAAAAAAGACGATTTCAAACCTGAACCTAAGGATTTAATCATCAATAATGTTCATCCATAGACTCAATTCTAGCAATAAATATTCCTTCTTTTAAGATACAATATTGACAATCATCCTTTGATGCATACGTTGCAACATGGAGCTGATGTTCGTACTTCATGAACTGAAATATCAGCTTCTACTTTCCATATCATATTAAAAACTGTATGATGAAAACTATATTTAAAAAAAAAAGACTCATAAATTTTACATGAAACACAATTCCGTCAGTCACACACTAGCACTTTTAATTTTAAGTGAACTCCATTTTGCAAAATACAAAAAATAACGAAAGGGTGTTATGTAAATGTTAAATTACATCTATCTATGAACATATTACTGTAGGCATAGCTAACTTATAGAGTCAAAATATAGTACAAATTGTGTAATTTATTCAAACTACCCTAGCACATCGTGTTAGATTATGTGGAAGAAAACACAAAGGAACCAACGAAAAGATTGACTTTTTTACAACCATGTAATTAGTGTGAGCTTCGTTCACATTTACTGATTAGTAACTCTTAATTATCCTTAACATAAAATACACATGGAATAAAGTACTACATAATTTGCCCTGCACCAAAACTATGAATAAAGAGGAAAAACTGTACCGATGCACGGAATAAATTATTTTTCTATTTATATTAATATCCTATAATTTACTGTAACAGTACGACAAATAGATAGCATTAAATATCCATTTTACCAAAATAGAATTTCCAGAAATCAGTTATGTGAAAACTTTTTAGGATGTATTAAATACTCTTCAATCACAAATGTACAAGTAATTTCTGAACGTTTGGAACAGTACAATGTAACATTACAAGCTATTCATGCAAGTGTTAACAGTTTTCGAAAAAACATCTGAAGAATTTGCCGAAAAGTGGCATTTATCAACAATCATCTTTCATTGCAACTCCATTGAAGCTAACAGATAATTTCCGTCATTTGAATATGCAACCATTAAAAAATTTGTTGCTAAGGAGATAAAGTGAATTTTATGGAATTCAAAAATGTTAACTACTAGAATTGACATTAAAATTGAAAACCATAAAAACTTATTATCTATTTGTTTCATGGATTGTATTGAATTTCATTTGTAAGTAGTCAAACTAAAGAGATTTGGTCAAACCAGAAACATTAATGTTTATTCATTTGAAGATATTCATCATTACCGGTAAGTCAAAGCATGGAACAAATTCTATCACACCTACAATACATTCTTTCTTAAACTGAAGTGAGAACGGGCAGGAAAATGAGGTAATGATTTGAGGAGATTTGAGATACAGAAGGGTAAAGATTGTAATTTAAAGAAATACAACTTAACTTAAAATTTGATGGTAGTGGTAGTGGTACATATAAATCTGAAAACACACCTCTACAATTCTAAACTTGTCCTTAGACAAAGTGACAGCCTGTTGTATCCTCTGGTTCTAAGGTGCTATATAAATCCAACTATTATTATCATCATAATTACATTGATTTGCAAGTCCACTTTGCCATTCGATATTAAAGTTGTATGAACAATGACTGCAGAGTAAGTAAAAGTAACACACAATCAGATGGTTCAGTGGTATAACAATGGTCTCGTAACCGGGAGGTCCCGGATTCAAAACCAAGTCAATGCACTCGTGCCCTTTGGTAAGGTATTAATCATCATTACTACCAAGTCCCTCAGAGAGGACTTGAAGCCGTCTGTCAATTCTGAGCAGGCAGGTAAAACAATCATCATTAAATTGAACTTTTTGCAGCAAGAGAGTGTGTAAAAGACACATTATGAACTTGATCTGGGGGGTGTTTCACAAAGATCCTAAGTCAAACTTATCTCTAAGTTGGACTTCTAAATTATGGAGAGCCATTTATAGCATTCAAATGAAATATATTCAAAAGCAGAAATTCAAGTATTTTAGACTTTTCACATCAAGAACATGAAATCTCCTTGATAATAGAAAATATGTATGATTTGAATCAACGGTTTATTTTACCAAATATTTTCAAAGATGATAATGGCTTTCCATGATTGTTAAGTCTAACTTGGAGATAAGTTCAATTTAGGATCTTTGTAAAACACCCCCCTGTACACCCCGTAGGCCATCGTGAGGAATGGCCGTTGTAGAAACCAGGCATAATAAACAAAGATGGAGGAAAAGATGCAGCAGTACTGAGGTAGATTCTTTTCAAGTTGGTTCTTTGTATCTGAAGTAGAATGTCATCATTTGATTTTGACGATCAAACCTGGTGCGAGACACTTAAATGCCCATTCAGCATGATGGTAATGAGCATATCACATGCTCCATATCGAAGGAAATATATTGAGAAAAATATAGTACCTGAGCTACCTATTAACTTGGGCCAAAGCAACCATTTTGCCAATCATGCTGAGCCAGAAAGGTAAATGGTAACCTTACAATCTCCTTGCCACTAAGAAAAAAACAATGTGTACCGGAAATCTTCTTACATCAGTGACCAAAACAGATTAAAAACAACAGAGAACCGCAAGTTTCCTTGTCATAAAGCAAGGTTTGTGTTCTTCACAAACAGGTGCTCTCGTATCACACCCGAGTACCTGTCATAGTTTGAAATACTACAACTTTGATGCATCAGACAATAGTTCCTAAGATTTGTCTCCTAAAAGTATCCTATTCTTTTTCAATAATCTTTCAATAATCAACAAAGGTCATACTATTTTCAAGTGTCCACATATCAGTTTGCGAGACCAATATAACGTGAATGACCGATTATTTTTGCACTCGTGGCACAAACAAATGAGACAATAAATAAATGCAACACCTTATGATACCCTGTACACACAAAAAAATGTGACACTACAGTCAAATGGGGGAATTCCCCTAGCATCAAGCAGGGGGAATCCCCTCTGATCAAACAGGGAATTCCCCTTGGTAATGGAGTGCTTTAACAGACAGTGAATGTACCATATGTACATGAGCATGTATAAACAGTAATAAGTAATGATTTTGTTCAAATTTATTCAAATTTCAAAATTAACTGCACATAAAAAGAAGAAAAAAACACACACTTTTTCAGGTTGCACTTTCTTTGTGTACCATCCGTTGGTATTCTATCTGGACAAATCATAATTATATTTTTATGCTACAAGACAAATCTTTCTGGGCTCATAATAAATTTGCAAAGTCATGGCAGTACATTTTTTTCTTTGTAAAATAATTATCAACAGAATTGTTCTTAACAAAACGGACTTTCATGGTAAACTGCTTTTTATGACAATGTTGTAATACACACAAAACAATCATATATTCCATTAATAAATTGTCATTATGAGGTTTGATATTCATACATTTACAGAAAACGAAGGGGGATTGTTATTGTTGCATATGAGAAATTGAAATCAGAAGTACATCTGTTTCATAAAGTTTGCAAAAATAAAATGTGACATTCAGTTCTATATAAATAGGAAAAAATAGAATAATGGTTTTGCAAATATTTCTTTAAAGAAAAAAAGAAGAATGTGTGAATAACCTTGGTATTGGTTGAATCAATCTTTTTAAAGATTTCCAGGGACCGTTCCATTCAGCACAATTTTGTGTCAACAAACACAAAGCATATCAAATTGTGTCGGCTTGGCCAGTCTGCCAACATCATTCAAACAATCATCATTCATTCAGACATCCATGTACTGCAAGGTGAAAGTGTCTACGTGAATCAGTCGTCAAAAGGGGTCTTCTAGTTCTAGATGACATCTCTTAGATGATGTCTTAGAGACAATGTGGGCATCTCTTAGATGTTGCCTCCCAAATAGTGTCTCCAAGGTGATGTCTTCTAGACAATGTCTCCTAGACGGCATCTCTTAGATGTTGCCTCTTAGATGTTGCCTCCCAGACGGTATCTCTAAGGCAATGTCTCCTAGATGGCATCACCTAGACGGTGTCTCCCAGACGGCATCTCCTAGACGTTGCCTCCAAGACGGGGTCTCCAAGGTAATGTCTCCTAGACGGCATCTCTTAGATGATGTCTTAGAGACAATGTGGGCATCTCTTAGATGTTGCCTCCCAAATAGTGTCTCCAAGGTGATGTCTTCTAGACAATGTCTCCTAGACGGCATCTCTTAGATGATGCCTCCCAGACGGTATCTCTAAGGCAATGTCTCCTAGATGGCATCTCCTAGACGGTGTCTCCAAGGTGATGTCTTCTAGGCAATGTCTCCTAGATGGCATCACCTAGACGGTGTCTCCCAGACGGCATCTCCTAGACGTTGCCTCCAAGACGGGGTCTCCAAGGTAATGGCTCCTAGACGGCATCTCTTAGACGTTGCCTCCCAGACAGTGTCTCCAAAGTGATGTCTTCAAGGCAATGTCTCCTACACGACATCTCTTGGACGTTGTTTCCCAGACGGCGTCTCCAAGGTGATGTCTCCTAGGCAATGTCTCCTAGACGGCATCTCCTAGACGTTGTCTCCAAAATGATGTCTCCTAGACTTGCCTCCCAGAAGATTATGTCCTCTAGGCAATGTCTCCTAGTCGAGGGGGTAAAGTGTGATATTCCTCACCTCCTGCTCCATATCCTGAATAAGCTCGGTCTTGTCGTAATCCATTCTGTGCCGGTAGACATGGTGACTCAGTACGCTGTACATTCGCTCCAGCTTCTCAATGTTGAAGTTTGTCGTTGCTAGGGTTACGCTCTCTAACAGTCGCTGATTACAAAGAATACAAACAAAGAATTAAAATGTAAAAAAAGGGAAAGTTCAGGTGAAAATATTCCAAACTCAAGATTAATGAGGAAATATCAAGACAAGGTTATTGGTATGCGATGAGATTTATAATTTTTAATAGATAAATATACAATGTACTAGATTATTTCAATTTCAGGAAATTACCCAATAACAGTTGTCAATTACCAAGATTAGTCTTCAGTTGTATGACCAACAGGCCTAATGTAACGCCTTGCATTCCCCCATTGGGGTAAGTCCTTATCTCATTTTTCCCTCAACTGAAGACTCTCTGAGAGACTAGGGGATATTTTGTGACAGGCCTACCCTACGGGTTTGCCGTGTGCAGACTTGGACACATAAATGTAGGCCAGAATTTACAAAGGAGCATTAGGTTTAAACACTCATTTACATAACCCATGGTTTAAAAAATTAGCGCAAAATAAGAGTACCTTGCCTTGCGCATGTTCAATACTGCACCTCTGACTGTGTCACACTTATTTTGTGCTAATTTGAGACCATGAGTTATGTAAATGAAGATTTAAACCATGGGTTAAATCTAAACCTCCTTTGAGAATTCGGGCCATAATGGTATTTCTGCAAAGTTTGGCGTCAGCGAAATATGGCAATGTGCACATGGAAACTCGACGACCCATTCCCTGGGACTACACTTACCTTGAGTCTGTCATGATCAACCACTAGTTCCGGTACAGGTTCATCGAGAATGTTCCTTGCTACTGTTGCCACTGCCACAGGGTCATTCTGAAGATTCTTTGTAGGCCGACGGCTTGATCGCCTCAGGGTAGCTACACAAGAGTATGTGAGATAGACAACATGATTTAAACAAAGTCAAAAGTAAAATGTTGCAAAATACATTGTTATTGCAACAGGGGAATAAACAGGCTTTTTAATGGTACCAATGTCATGTATAATACATAGCAACAAGAGAGATATCAGTGCTCAAACTTAACTTGCAGAACTTTTTTTTAGGAGTTTAGTAAAATCTGACAAGTGGTCCATAACTTTTGGGGCTGTGGTAGGTTGGGAAATGACAGCAGATCAATTGCTGCTGGACCATGCGAAGTACAACTTACTAATTATAAACCTGGTGCATTCTTTAATCTATAAAAAGTCATCACCATAACACAGATAAAAGTCCATAAAAGCACTGATCCTATGCTAAAGCTAGGACAACAATTAGGAATTTTCAATAATGAACTATGATGAAAAGGAAATCAGTTTTTTCCAAAGCTGCACTATAATGAAAGGAAATTAGACTTACTCCAGTATTACACAACACTAACTATGAAATTTGATTTACCACTGCTGTCTTTTCCTTTGGTTGATTCAGCTGAGGTAGGCGTGTCTCCTTCATATTGTCTTCTCTCCTCCTCCTCCTCCTCCTCTCCATTCTCAACCTCCATGACCTCTATGATCTCTTTGGTCTTTGACCTATCACCTTTGACCCTTTGGAACGGCACCACCTTCTCCAGCGTGGGAGGATCAATCTCCGAAGACTCTTCGCTGCTGATGCCATTCTGGAGCTGATGGTGCGTGGGGGCCGCATGATTGCTGTTCCTACGCAGTGACCGACGCCCAATTACATGTTCGCTGACCGGGGAGCACGGCCCGCTCTTCACACTCTCTCGGTCACTGTCGTGGTTATCGAGCCCGTGGGAGAGACGAGGCGAGCGCTGTGTCGCGATAGGAGTATCGTCGGTGATCTGGGACAGAGTACTGGGTGCAGTGGATGTTTCAGCAGATTGGTTACTGGTTTCTTGGTGGTTGAAGATATCCCCGTTTGTCAGGGGTCCATTGTGCAAGATCTCCACCTCTCCATCCTCCATTGCCTCTTCCCCTTCCTCCTCCTCTCTTTCCTCCTCATCATCCTCCTCCTCCTCTCTTTCCTCCTCATCGTCCTCTTCGCTGTCTTCCTCTTCATCAACAACCGGTTTCTTCTTCTTAATCTTCGACAAGAATCCTCTGGACCAAGCACTTCTTCGCTTCGAGTGCTTCTTCTTGACCTTCTTTGGTCGACCGGTCCCTCCATCTCCATCCTCCTCCCTGGAGGAATCCAACTGATGCGGTTTTAGTTTCTGGTTGGCCAGCTCCCTGGCCTGTTCCTGCGCCTGCGTTAGGGTCAACTGATGGAATGTCTTGTAGAAGCTGGGTGCCATTGCGGCGGTCACGGTCGGGTTCTCCTGCCTCCTGGACCTCGACTCCTCGATCTCGCCGCACTCCTTCTCGAAATCGGAATCCATCTCGGCGTCGATGATGGCATAGGCCATGTCCTTCAGCTCACAGGCTCTGTTCCTAATCATGCGATCTATGACAGAAAAAGAGTTAGATATTGGCTCTTTAATACTGGACAGTCAACAGTTTGAAACTAAGCCTGAGTCATCACGTTTTTTGTGCTAAACGTTTAACCCTTACTGTACTGGGCTATTTTGAGCACCTCCTGACTGGGGGGGGGGCCTGGGAGGCCCCCCCCCTATGATCTCGGCCGTCGGATGTCCGATGAACACGAAAATTTGCATGTTTGTAGATATTTACGTAACGAACAAGATAGTGTAATTAGTTTTTTGCGAATATGCAAATTTTTGTCGTTATAGCCTAATTAATTATGCAAAATGCTAATTTTATGCATTTTACAGAAAACGTGTCAAACTTCACTTTTTGAACGTTGAAACTCATTATTCATATGAAACTTCTTTTCTAACACAAAATATTTATTTGGATGTAATTAATAATGATAATTTATGCAAATTTGATGCGATTTTCAAATATTTATTTTCTTATGTATTTTATTGTTTTTTTATTTCTTATTATATCTATTGTTTTTATTTCTTATGTATTCTTTTGTTCTGGAATACATCAAGTTACTTTGAGAAACATATAAAAGCAATTCGATATCAATTCATATCACCCACTTAGGAAGGAATACATCTAAACCTGTATTCACATTTCTACTTGTACATGAATATATGCAATTATAGCATATTTTTGATGACATGCGCATACTAATTGTTATGTAACACCTCACAGGTATATCCGATTGCGACGAAAATGGTATCAAAACGTGCGTAAGACTTGAGGAAAAAAAGTCATGAAACGACAATTCAAAATTTCAAGCGGTTGCGGCGCAATCTCTGAAAATGTCGAGGGGGGGGCCTCCCAGGCCCCCCCCCCCCCCAGTACAGTAAGGGTTAAATGTTTAAATGTATACGGGCAGTTTCGTTTTTACATGTGTGTAAATTCTCACGCATTCAGTCATTTCAATGAATGTTGTTTTTAGAACTCTGTACGGGCAACAAAGTCTTGACGATAATGATTTTTTTTAGATATCTGTACGGGCAACAAAGTCTTGCCGATAATTATTGTTTTTAGATCTCCATAGAGTCACAAAGTCTTGCTGATAATTATTGTTTTTAGATCTCCGCAGGGGCAAAAAAGTCATATAATAATAATAATAATAATAATCTTACCACTAGGTTGTCTATCAGGGTTGTATTCCAAGGCATTGCTGGTGATGAGGTCTATATCCCCCAAGAACTGTTTAGCGCTGGTGTACTGATGGAGGTTGATCTTGTTGTTCATGGTGAACAGGTCCATGGGTTGTTTGATCACTTCAACATAGTCTGGAACCTACAAAAGGTATGTTAAATATATAATGAATTAAAGTCCTATTCAACATCCATTGGCTGGGATACATAATCATTCTATCAAGTTTTGGACAAAGAAAATCAAAAAAGTCAAATGAGTTTTCATATTTCACCCCAATGTTGTGATATACAGCAATATTCAGAATTTTGCATTGAATAATAAGTGTATTTTTAACAAAAAAATAAGAGAAAAATTATAAGCCAATAGACGATAATTGTTAAGGCCTGTTCAGATATGGCGCAGCACACCGCCACATAAAAAACTAGATGGAACTTCGACTGTGCGCAGTCGAAAATGATGCCTCCGTTATAGAGCAATTTTACAAACCAAAACAGAAGAAATTTTTCAAATTCCAGTTCAATTATAATCCATTAACAGGTTCTCAGAATATCGTGATTATAAACAATTTCTCATATACATATATGACCCTTTGATCTTTGACTTCATGACCCTAAAATCTACTCAGTTCATTGGCTCTGCAAGATGTCTTGAGTTAAATAGTAATCCATCTGTCAGTTCTAATGAGAATGCGTTCACAAGCTATTTTTGCATACATAATGAGCCCATGACCTTTGACCTTTGACCTTATGAACCAAGAATCTACTCAGTTCATTGGCCCTGCAAAACACATAAATGATCTAAGTTTGGCAGGAATCCACCAATCGGTTCTTGAGATAACGCGATCACGACCTGTTTTTGCATACATAATGAGCCCTGTGACCTTTGACCTCATGACCCCAAAATCTAATCAGTTCATCGGCTCTGCAAGATACATACATGACCAAAGTTTGGCAGGAATCCATCAATCGGTTCTTCAGATAACGCGATAATGAGAACGGGACGTACGTACGTACGGACGGACAACCCGAAAACATAATGCCTCCGGCTACTTCGTAACGGAGGCATAAAAAGGGTTAATAAATGGCAACTGCGCGCTGACCGTTAATCAAGTCCATTCATTTACGTGCAGTTGTCCTAAAGAAGTCGTAGATGGCGTTGACCAGTATTTGTCATGCTACACCACCTATAAAGCGTGTAGGGACATCGTACAATAATGACATAATTAGCTATATACGAAACCAACAAATATTGTTCTCAGTTGTACCTCTTCAGGATCCACAGGACTGGTGAAGACCCGGAATTTCCTCTCAGATGCCAGCCTGGTGAGGACATCCCTGAGGAAGATTCTCAACTCTCTGAGCTTCTTCTCCTCCTCACTGATGAGTTTCTGGATCTCTTCCTCTGTCAGTTCTCTAGGTTCCCTGGGAGCGACTACAGGAAGGATCTCAAGGGCTGCAGAAGCTGTTGGAAGAACAGTTCAAATTCAAAATTCAAAATCAGAACAGTGAGACTGGAAATTAAGCAATGAGGTGATATGATATTTTTTTAAAGAGTCTCTTGGACAGCTTGGACTTCTTCTTCTCCTCACTAATAAGTTTCTGGATCTCCTCCTCTGTCAGTTCTCTAGGTTCCCTGGGAGTGACAACGGGAAGGACCTCAAGGGCTGTAGAAGCTGTTGAAAGGACAGTTGGACCAGAAATCAAGCAATGTGAGTGTCATGGCCGAGTGGTTAAGGGCGCTTGACTGGAGATGCGAAGGTCAAGGGTTCAAATCCTGAATTGACTGCGGGGCAAGCAGTGGAGCATGTGTCACAGAACCCAAATTTGGGACAATTTAAAACCCTCCACACAGTACAAAAAGGGTTACATCAAAACAAAACAAAATCTAAAGTCTTACCAATTTTCTTCTTCCTGTGTGGAGCCTTGGTGGCTTGTACTAGGACGAGATCCCTGAAGAATTCTCTCCTCTCATCCATCTTGAAGAGTCTCATCTTCATCACCTCACCATGACCAGCAGTGAAAAGAGACTGCATCTGGAGGAGGACAGAATGTCAAAATTTGGTTTTACGGGAATTAGTCTATTAATAATAATAATACATATAGAGCACAGAAACTATCCAACATTAAGTATATATTCTACTGCGCTACAAGAGCTCCTGATATGCTTAGATTTATAGTTCATTGAAAACATGTGCTTTCAGTTTGATTTAAAGATCTTCACAGATGGTGATTTCCTGACTTCAAATGGTAAGTTATTTCAGAGTTTTGGGGCTGCACAAGCAAAAGCTTGATCACCTAGCATTATTTTTGATAGATGGGATCTGCAGCAACTAAGTATCTCAGAAGCTGCGCAAGTGACAGAATACAGAAGGAGTGGAAATGGTGCACTTGATTCATAATTTGAGAAAATTTACAAGGTGCGAAATAAGTGTGTTTTCAAATTACTTCTGAACTTTTTGTATGTTTCTATATTTCTAAGGTATTCCAGCAAGTTATTCCGTAATAATGACCTTTCCCCGTATTAGATTTTGTCATAGTTTGTGGGACATAAAATATTCCAAGGTATTTGGTCAATTGGCATCCCATACATTACTGTGTATTGTGGAGTCCTGAACATCAAAGTGACATAACTGTGCAATTTCACTTTATATTTGGTCTGATCCAGTTCTAGTATTGCTACCAACTGAATAAAATGATCAGATAAAGTAAGACCTTAGATCTGGGCCCTGTCTTATAAAGAGTTGCGATTGATCATGCTATGATTATATATGTATTAAGACTTTTGTTAATAATATTTGTATACCTTGTTTGTAAATTACTTATTTATGTTGAAAAACGCAGAAATAAAATTGAACAAATGATGATCTCAATAAAACTTCTAGCCTGCAACTTACCTCGACTGGAGCATCCCTGAGCGGAAAGTCTGAGGTAGCTAGCAGGAGGATGGGGGCTGATGGAGGTAGATCTTGCAGCAACGTGAGGAAAGTTGCTTGCAACGTTGAGGAGCAGGCCTCCCACCACTGGCCTATGTGAGGGACGTAGATGATGCTAGGACTGGTGCGCCGTGCCTCAAGGAATACCTAGCAACGAAAGAGAGGATACTGAAGTGTAAAATATAATTTTCTCATCTCAAGAGTTCTACAAGGGTTTCCAAGCAATAATCATTACATCAAATTTACTGTATTGCTATATTTTAACAGAGCTCCTTTTATATATTTATCTACCGTTTTTCCTATTCAGCTACCATTTTCCTATGTATCTACCCATTTATCTATGCTTTTTTTAAAGCAAGATGGGGCTTGGATAGATTTTTTTCTGTCTTTTCAAAATGTCAGATTGAAGTTCAAAAGATGTCTATCAAAGTCTCACTCATGTCTCTATCATAATCAGCACCATGTTCATCATCATCATCATCATCATCATCATCATCATCATCACCACCACCATTTTCATCATTATCATCATCACCATCATAATTATCAACATCATAATCCATTATCCTCCTCCTCCTCCTCCTTCTCCTCACCACCACCACCACCATCACCATCACCACCAGCGCCACCACCACCATCATCTTCATTATCCTCCTCCTCCTCCTTCTCCTCATCACCACCACCACCATCACCATCACCACCAGCGCCACCACCACCATCATCTTCATTATACCTGAGCACACGATTCTTCTGGTGTCTTTGCACTGCATGCGTACAATGCTGGGAGGTCAAGGCAGTGTACAGGGAGCCTCTCCATGTGATGCAGGAGAGCCGGGCCGAGGTGCGAGGTTTGCCCCATCCCAGGCTGCCCGGTGATGAGGAAGCGTGGCCGGTGGGCGTGTGGTCTATGGTAGGAAGTACTGATGAGAGAGAGAAAGGGAGAGAGTCAAAGAAGAGATAAAGAAGAGTTTTTTTGTTGTTGATGGTATAACTCTATTTTCAAATAAACATTTACTTTACTTGTGCTAGCGCCATGAGCGTCCCTGGACGTGTCTTCTTTTTCGTACCCCAGCGAGCCAAGATTCCAGTATGAACTCATTTTTATACATAGCAAGCTACGAAAGCTTGCAAAGTAGTCACAAACAATTGGACTTTGATTATTTATTGCTTTGCCTTTAGTAATACTATTTACAAATAATTTCAATAGCATCTCGGTGTTCTAATGCACTCTCACAAAACTTCTTGAGATAGTGTTACCCTATTTTTCTTTAAAGGACTTTTCTCAGCTAAGTCATTCACAACACACATATTTTCTTCATTGTTCCAATAGCATAATACAGTTATTTACAGAAGGAACCAGTTTTTCCTAAACAAATATATGAGTGAATGAAAAGTAAACTCCCTAATATCAAGGGTATTGAGGCTTAGTTGAATTCCAACTAGGATTTAGAATATTTTTTAGCTAAGAAGAAAAACAAGCTCCCTTAACATTTCAAAAAGCGGAGCATTGATCTTTGTGTTTAACGCTAACTCTTCCACTCAAGTACTCATGCATCTACAATGCTGCTTTGTATAATTCTGTAAAATAGCTGTCTTTCTGTTTTGACTCTGTAATTGTTTTATTCAGTTATTGATCAATAAAGATTAAAGGTAATACAAAGTTTTGGTGAGAGGTCATGAATTTGGTTCAAATGAACACATTGAAAGCATATGCAAGTTTACAACATTCAATGATCGTTGTCGCGAGTGTAAAGTAATGAAATTGTAAATAATAAACTCTTTATGTTGTATAGATCCCTCTCAAGACTGATATTACTTTAGCTTTAAAACAATGTTTCTTGACTACAATAGACCGATTTGCTATTCCTGTTTGGAGATTATATATCAGAACTGCATCTTCTGAAATTTTCATAGTCGCAGCTTCCATGAAATGGCCTTAGGCGCTATTTGAAATATTTGAAATTCACCGGGAGCACCTGTAATTTTTGTTATTATTCAATTTCTCGAAAGCAGAAGTGTTTTGGGGCTAAATTTTCTAGTGCTTATAATACATCCACATGGGCATCCAAATATATCAAAACTTTAAAGAAGTACTATCCATCCAATTTTCAAAATTTCCCAAACTTTGCATTACCTTTAAAAGAAAAGAGAAGAATGCTTTCTTACCTTGCAAAGTTGAGGAATGAATGGTTGGATGTGTGTGAAAGGCTGTGTTTCTTGGACCCCATCCTCGGGGTGGGGCCGTTGAATATACTGGGCCCTCCCTCCTCCTCCTCCCAGTCATCATTGTGCAGCATATCGGTCAGAGGATCTGAAGATTCCTCTGTAGAATGATACCAAGGAGGAGATGATATTATTAACAATAAAAATAATAATACAGTACATATAATACAGTATACAAATACTGCATAAGGGAAACATGAAACAGGTTCCGTTATTACGGATTTCAATGAGAAACCCCATACAATGAAAACAGAAATTGTAGTCTTTATAGATAGGTGGTCTTTCGATACAGGGGGTCGCTAAAGCAGCTTTGACTGTAATATTTATTAAGTACACATTATATCATAAAACAATGTCCCTATGCATGTTCAAAGTGGTTAAGCCACGGTGGCCACTATCAGCTCACCATGCCTTTTAACAGAATAAATCCTTACCAGGTAACTACAGGACAAGTATTTAGTCTTCAGGATATCAAAAAAGCTCACTACTCATGAACGAAGAGAGAGTGATGACTGTAAATGAGGAACTGTGTCTTGAAACAAACTGTTTGCCTCTTTAAAGTTTATCTGCCATAGTTTACAGGAGGGATTACACCGGCCTGCAAGGTCACTGGACAGGTGGTTATCTCATCAAGTCAGCTCTCAGTTAACATAAGAAAAAGAGGATCATGGGGGACCAATAGTCACCGATTAGGCATTGTTTGTTATATAGAGGGCGCAAGTAGCTATAAGTAGTGCAGTGGGCCTTTAATAGTGTTTAGCTTGTGAACCACTACACCACGGTGACTCAATACAGGTTATGTCTTTTCCATGCATGGTCTTTCAAAAAGGCAGGCAGGATTCAGTATTTTAAATGAAAATGGGTAAATTAAGCTTCAATGCTATATTCAATGGATGAAAAATAACATGGAATGGAAAGCATCTAGCACAACAATTATCCTAATTGAAAAGATTTTTTTTTTTTTACTAATTTCATATTCTTTTCTAAGTATTTTTTAAGGCATTTCACAATTAAAATAACCAACTTTAGTCATAGAAAAAATAAGTACATACTCTCTTTACAACACAAATGTGACATGTTGCCTACTTATTTCTTTAAACTTCAAATATGAAAATAAAACTGCAGTCGCTCACCTTGTGAAGTACTATTGTCTTTATATAAAGCCGAAGGGAAGACATGACGTAGAATATCCAGTGCAGCATTGAATTGGTTCTCCAGCAATGGACGGACGTGGAGGGTCAAGCTACGGCCAGGGCTGACCACTGACCGCTGAGAGGCCGGTACGATGCGCTTCATGGCCTGGTGGAAGTCCACAGCGCCGATCTGGATCTCGGTCACGTCCAGCTGGAGTTTTTCCTTGGAGGTATAGATTTGAGGGTAGCGGCGTCGCAGGGCGTACAGCGCTGCCTCGGTGCATAGCGCCTTGAGGTCGGCACCACAGTAACCTGTGATGTAGTTGAAATGACAAAAAAAGCACATTTAAACTTTTATGTTTGTTTTGTTTCTATTTAGTAACTTTATATCATATGCTGGGATGGATAAAAGTATAAAATTCTTGTGAGAAAAATGACCTGCACAGTTAACATTAAAAAAAAAAAAAAATGAAAGCAATACGAATCTGCTAACCTCTAATAGATAAAATCATACAAATCTCGTAAGGTAAAATAAGAACTGTTTGAGGTCTACATATCGTCGCCGTTTTCACGAACCGGCACAGCCCAACGCGCAACGAAATAAGTACATTCTGAGAAAAACGCGTTTTACGTTTAGCCCGTCAATGAAAAGGAAAATATTCTGTATTTTCTATACATTCCATTTGTTAAGCATAATGACAATTACTATTAATATTACGAAGCTTTGGACTCTCGTGCCGGTTCGTGAAAATATTATTTTGCTGTTTACGTAGCAAAAATATTTTCACGAACCGGCACAAGCCACTGTGTCGTTTTTCCTATGTAACTTTACGCGCAAGACAAAAGCGCTCGCGCTGTCTTAGCGCGTATTTTATTTTCACGAACCGGCACAACCGCCTGTGTCGCGTCGTCTAGGTCTTGTAAGCGCAAAGATATTTTCACGAACCGGCACAGCCCATTGACTTATAACAGCGCGTGCCGGTTCGTGAAAATATGAATCGTGCTTTTTGGCTCGTGTGTCGTTTTTGTCATTTGTGTAACCATGGATATCTCAAAAACTAAAGCGTTTTGGATGCTGAAATTTGGTGAGATGAAAGATTGTTGATAACTTATGCTAAAAATGCAAAAAAAATAAAAACTACATTTTGAAGGGATTTCGGTGGCTTGTGCCGGTTCGTGAAAACGGCGACGATATATTTCAAAAAGAGTAAGGAATCTAGTATTCACATTGATTTGAAGGGCCAAAATAGGAATTCATTCCCTCAGATTATGACTGGTTAAATTAATCCAAGGCCATGGCCGTGGATGTTCTTTTGATCGGCCTCAATGCCCCTCTCATTGGCCTTGGAGATTTTGTGTGCCCTTTCCAATTCATCCTATTTGTGCTCTAATATAGGAATGTGCCCTACAAAAAAGTGGCCTTGCCCTAAAAATATTGAAATTTAAGGCCTGTAGCAATGTATATTTAGAATAGTAAATCAGGATTTTCATATTTAACTCATCAAACAACAAACGATTCTAATTATCATTATCATTCCATTATCTCTTACCGACACACTTTGCAGCAACTTCTGAAACAAAAGCTTCTGACAGCCTCGGATTCCATTGTTTGGTGTGGATGTTGAGGATGGTGGTCCTTGCCTACAAACGAGAATGTTGAACAGATATTATTTATGAGAGGTATAAAGAGGTTAGGATCATTGAAAACCCTGCATTTACTTTGTTGCAATGATTCCTAAAGCCGGTAAGGAAGAATCTCTTAAAGATCAAGCTGATAACACCTTTAGTTTCTTAAAACACCAAAGTTATCAGGCACTGTTCCACCGCGAGTCTCTATTTTTATAATCAGTACACATAATCTAGCTATATCAATTCAAGGGCAGGCAGTTTAACAGCTTTTACTTGAACCTGATATGATTTTTATTCAATACCTATAATTCCATTAAGTGTTGACCCATACGAAAAATCAAAGACAAAGCATTACATACAACACATGGATATACAGTCAAACCTGCTTTAGTGACCACCTGTCTACAAAGACCACATTTGTTGATTCCCTTGAAAATGGTTTCTCATTGAATCATGTACTAAAGGAACCTGTCTACTAGGACCACATTTTTTATTTCCCTTGAAAATGGTTTCTCATTGATACATTTACTCAAGGAACCTGTCTACAAAGACCCCATTTTTTTTATTTCCCTTGAAAATGGTTTCTCATTGAATCATGTACTAAAGGAACCTGTCTACTAGGACCACTTTTTGTATTTCCCTTGGGCAGTCACTATTTACAGGTTTTGACTGTATAAAAGGCAAATCATAAATTGACCCTTCAAATACTCGGGCTGGGGTCCATGACAAAGAGTGTTGTAAACCAAAATCAAATCGTCCAACTGGAAAATGAGAATGTGCAAAAATGGAAACCTACCTCGACTGAAGGCAGAGGGAAGAGGAACTCCCTATCAAAACGTCCTGGTCTCCTGAGCGCAGGGTCGATGGCATCTATCCTGTTGGTCGCTCCGATGACCACAATCTCCCCTCGACTGTCCAGACCGTCCATAAGGGCCAGGAGGGTGGACACGATGGAGCTGTGGATCTGGTCTTGGCGGCTTGACCGGACCGGGGCCAGACCGTCAATCTCATCGAAGAAGATGATAGACGGACGCATGGTGAAGGCCTGTGCATGGGGGGAAAAGGACGACACAATGACTTCACAACAAATATTTCAGTACAGTATAGCGAGTGGTAAATCAGTTAATGACAGCAGATTTGTTGGTACTGAAAGTGCTTAGCAGTGAACCTCAATTCCATTTCATTTCTCATCCCTCAATTGTAACTTTATTAAACACTTAACCATCATGATCTGCATACTTCCATTATATTCTATATCATGACAACCTTTAGGATAGTGCCAGAAGAAAAGAAAGTAATATTGAATACGTTGAACAAAATTGCTTTTACCTGATCAAAGAGTAGCCTGAGCTGACGTTCCGACTCTCCGACCCACTTGCTGAGACAGTCGGCTCCTTTCCTCATGAAGAAAGCTACCCTCTTGTCGCCCTGCTTGCACTCGTTGGCTAGCGCCCTCGCTACGAGGGTCTTGCCCGTCCCAGGGGGGCCGTGGAACAGCACCCCTCGGGGCGGGGCGATCTTGAAGCGCTCAAAGACCTCTGGGTAGAGGAGGGGGAAGACGACCATCTCCTTCAGAGCCTGGACGTGTGAGCCTAAACCACCTACAGTGTCAAAGGTCACCTGAAAGATAAATTTATAAAAAAACATTTATTTATTTGTTTATTTCTAATCTTTTGTCAGGGTAGCCAATTCACCAAAAGGTAGTGGTCTTCCATGGACATATTTACATCAGAAAGTTTATACCTAACAGTTAAAATAAAATTCCATGGTTTGGAAAGAAAATATAACAGAAACATGGTATGAAAGAAAATATAACTTCTTGAAAGTTGTAAGGGAAACACTCTCTTCTCCGAACCTGGATGTGTGAGCCTAAACCACCAACATCTTCAAATGGAACCTAAAAAACAAATTTAAAAGCAAAATTACACCTTTGGGGCATAGTTTAACTTATTGAAAACTTTTGAGGGGAAAACAAAAATTTGTAAGAGCATACACGCAAAAGCCAAAATTTCCAACAACATCGATTGTCACCTAAATATGAGGATTTACGACAATAAACATTAGAGCCCGTCTGCACTAGTTTGGCCAGGAAGAATTAGACCTCCCTGCAGGGTCTCGGACCTATGAAAAGAACTTACCGATGAATCAATATTCATAGGATCTACATCAGCCAGGCTACCCCCTATTCTCTGTCTGTCCTTGATGACTCCACCAGACATATCGTCCTTAGTTAAGTTCATTGGAAGACACCTGCAGGGGAGAAAAAACAGTTGAAAAAAGATCACATTAATACAGGGTTCATACTCTTTCTCATAAATTTAATTCCATGACTTTCCATGACTTTTCTAGCCAGAATTCCATGACCTTTCCATGACTTTTACACATTTTTTTTACACGGTAGACTGAAAATTTGATCTCAAATCAAAGCGAAGCAAAGTGCATGTTTCAAGTCTACTAATAGAAAGGCAGCTTTTGTTATCTAGTTATTTCATCTGTTACAATTACATGTTATTTTTTCATCATATTCGATATGCACTGCTATATAATATTCTTACAATTACACATACATGTATTCATATCAACAATTGTCCATTTTTTAATGGCAATTTTCACTTCTAAAGAATACAAATTGCCTGTTCCTGGTTTCATGGACCACCATGATTCCTTCAATAGCTCTCCTTTGCATGTACAAGGTAACTACCCCCCCCCCCCCAAAAAAAGAAAACAAAACAACACCAACACACAAACTCACACACATACCATCACCAATTTTGATTTCACCAACAAAACACAGTAGGCCTACTCACATCAGCTGATGAATTCTTGTTTCGCTAGCATTAAGCTGGTCAATAATTTCTGAATGAGTTTTTTCTTGAGACATCTTCATGTAGCTGTTTGAAAGAAATCCCTCTACACATTGCACCTGTCTGAATATTTGGTGGCATTGGTAACAAACTGTCCAAGTTCTTTAATAATTCTTAATGGCATTCAGCTGTTCATCAATCTGTTTCTGAATTACTTGTAACTGGGATGCCTTCTCCTTTGCTGTACGTCGGAGGCTGTTTGATTTGGAAATACAAGTCAATCTTCCTTGTGACTCTGCTTCCTCAGCATACTTGTCTGCTGAGGTGTGAAGACTTTTCACATCTGCTTGCAGTCTCATTTGTTTGGCCTTTAGTTCTTCCAAACCATCCATCAGTCCTTTTCTCTTTCCTTCTTTCTTTTCCTTTTCCTTTTTACGCCTCTGTTCATCGAGATAGATGTGGTATTTCTGCCTGCCTGCAGACGCAGCCAACATGATTGATTTGTCAATAGTCACATTCTTGATTCCTCCAACATACTTGATATGGTCATAAATGGCCCTCAATGATATCAGTGAGTGTCCCAGGAGATTGTCCTCTTCAACTTCGTTGTTGATTGAGAAACCTCTCTCAATGGAGGCTTGTCCATGGGACAAGACAAGCAACATGCGGACCAACTTTAAGAGGGTCGAATAGCGAGACTCGGACAGAAATTTGCACATTACAGAGTCCAATCTCTCTTTCTTTGGATCAAAGTCTCTCATCTCTGCACTTCTTGATGCCTCATCACATGCTTCTGAGTATTCTCTTAGGATATCGTCACATGAATCCTTAAGTCTGTGGGCATCACTAAGGGTGTTAAGCACCCTCTTCAGCTTTGCAGTGGAGTTTTCTTTGTCTTTTGCCATGTTCTTTGGACTCAAGCATCCTATATTTCTCACAAGTGCATACTTAAGCGGACATCGCTCAATGAGCTTCCGGGTCATTGCAGCAAGAAACTTCTTTGCTTGAGTGCGAAATTCCAGAACTTTCAGCTCACTGATGATATTTTTCGCCTTCAGATCTTTCAGCTTCTTCTCAGTGTAGAATCCAATGTCCAACTTGGCCAAGGGCAGCTGAATGGCCTCACTGCTAACATCTACCTGCATTATCTTGTAAGGAGAAGTAATGGTACTCCTGTCCAGCTTTAAAAATCGCTGCATAAGGGATGCAAGCATTCTAGTAAGGTCTTCAGCTAAAAAGGGCAGCATTGGTGCATCAGTCTGATAGTCTGTTAGGAAAGGATTGACCAGCTTTGCAACAGATATGAAGAAGTACAGTCTTGCTAAGAAATCAGTTATATGAGTACATTTTGAAACAGTTTCAAAGGACTTGTTCTTTGGGTGAGGGATTTTCTTCTCTTCTACTGCTTTAACATACGCACATACACTCTCCCAGATGCTGATTGCTCTCTCTGCAACAGGAAGGTTTTCCAGCCATCGGGTCTTGCAAAACTTAAGTGGCATGGTATGATCTCCAGTTATCTTCTGATAATCCTCTCTTCTGGCAGGGGAATCAGAAAACAGGTAATACAAGGATGATAGAAAGCTTTCCACCTCCCAGTCAGCAGCCTTGGCACCTGTCAGAAAAGCACCATTAACTATATGGAGCCCGCATGAGCCTATATTCAGTATGGATTTGGTCAGGTCAGCAGTGTACTCTCGCGTAAAGTCATCATACATCTTCCAATTAACGTTGGGACCATCCATTGATATTTGCAGTAATTTTTCCAAGCCAACTGTGTGCAGAACTTTATTCAGTTCTTCCTTGAGGTGAACAGCTGAACCATGTCCGATGAACACAGACGTCAAGTAGCGAGTGCAAACTTCATTGTGTTGCCATGTTCTTATGAGGAAGTCCATCTGCTTTTTCTGGAGCTTCTTGTTGAGGCTTTCATCAAACAGTATCACATAGTGGTTTGATTGTTTTATGTTGTCATAAAGGAGGTCTTGCACATATGGGCCCAAACCAAACACCGTCATATACCGACATTTTGTTTCTGACAACGTGAAACCCTTAGCAATAGCTGAGTCCGGAAACATTCTTTGAAAGAGCTCACTGTTGTGCTGGCAAGAATGAAATGATAAATGATCCTCCACCACTTTCAGACACCAGAGTATTTCAGCTTTTAAAGTTTCCTCTCTTGCAGCAACAGGAATGGGAGTTGTCACTTTAGAGGTTGATGGCGCACAAGTACTGGTTGTTGCATCTGTAGACGTGATAGATACTGATGAACTTTCTGCACCTTTTGCCTTGAAGAAGCTCTTGAGTGAGAGAGTAGAATCTAGGAGAAAAGAAAAAGATGTCTATTAAAATAAATAAAATATAAATATCATCATTTGGTAAGATTTAGGGCCGAGTCAAAACGTTTAACTGCCGTTCAAACGACCATTAAAAGCATAAACGTTTTCCTATTTTGACAACCGTTTGACAGTATGGGGAAGGAAAAAAAAAAAAATTCACGGCAACTTTTGGCCAATTGATGTAAGTCACTAAGACAAGTGGACTAATTTTTGACTCATTCCTTAAAAACATATTTTAAAGAAATAGAAAGGAGGAAATACTTCTCAAGGCAAGCAAACTGTTGGACCCAATTGTAAGTACAAAATTTAGTTTTATGATTTTTGGGGTCAATTTTAAGGTAAATTATTATTTTTTTTTTTTTCTGCAGTCCACATACAGTGCCCGGTACAACACTGGCGTGTGAGTGCGGAGCCCCCTGGGTTAGCGTTCGGGCTGTTGCATGCAGTAACCTAGCCGGCCCGGCCCGGGGCCGGGGACGCTCCCGAACGGGCTGGTCGCAGTAAGCAGTAACCAATGCCTGCGAGGTGACATCGCATCGCTAAATAATCTCAAATCTTTCATTTTTATATAATTATTATCAGTCATTATTTGGATTCATGCTCAATAAAGGATCGGTAAAATTCACATTAAAAATGCTCACTTACGACGTTGTTGCTGTTGGAGGTTTGCTGTGTGTTTTTCACTCTTCTTGTGGCTCTTGACGGCTGCTTCGCCCATATTACGGACACTGAATTTACACATACAAACAGCACATCTAGCAGTCCCCAGATCGGAACTTTCTTTCAAAATCCAGCCACGGTAATCCGGGTGTTCTAACCAAGCATCCTTAAAATGACAATTTCCAGGCATTTTGAATATCACTTCCACAAAATTTGTAATGGTGAAAATATCCACGTGACGAGTTCCAAGGTCTGTGAAAATAAACAACTCCGTTTCATGAAGAATCAACACATGCACAAAAGTTTCAAAACACATGCCGTCGCGTCGATATATAGATCGTCAACGAGCTAGCGCTGCCAATTTGCCTTGTTGACACGTCAGTATTGTTCCTTTTTTATTTAAATAATGAAAATTAAAAAACAAATATTACTAATTTACTTTTTCCTCATTTATTGGAGAAGTGTAAAAATTGTAGTAGTCTAAGTGGTCGCAATTTAATGCAAAGCCAAAGTGCAATCGAGGCATTACATTCGTTCTTGGAGTGTCACATGTCGCGTTGGCACCATCATCATATGCACACACACACTGCACACGTACACGTGCGCTAGCTTGCTGAACTGAGCTAGCGCTAGCGAGCTCGCTCGCAAGCTAGCCATGTGCGCACGATGTGGACCGTACCGCCATACACTGACCATACACACGTAGTTCGTATCGTACACGTACACACCCACGTACACAGCGCTTATCCATCGATCATAGTGAACACATTCACAAGTACAATCAGTCGGTATGTTACGAATGAAAGAAAATACGAGAAGAAAATGGTTGAAATATCTCCATTTATTCACTTGTATAGTGAGAAAATACTATAGTTGTCCATAATTTTGATATTCCATGACTTTCCATGACTTTCCAATGGAAAAAATAATTTTCCATGACTTTCAAGGCCTTAAAAGCAATAAAGTAAAATTCCATGACTTTCCAGGTTTTCCATGACCCGTACGAACCCTGTAATATCTACCACATTGCAGTGAGTAAACCCTGTACCAACTAAACCGCCCGAAACTACCCCTCCTCTTACTCACTAACCGCCTGAAACTGCCTGTTCGTTTTCAACGCGCTGCAGTATCCTTTTATTGGGGTCTACCGTGATAATGTTATATGTGCGTAATCCTTACAGGTCTGTTGTATAAATAGTGGTCAATTGCACAATTAAGATGTAAATCTACAATGTATTGGGGCATTCCCACACTAGCACATGTGTCAATCCATGTGTTGGACATTTGCAAAGTATGTCATATTCTTCTTATTTTTTATGTACTAGTCAATGATTTACAAATTTTCTGTTTAAACTAATTTTTGAAGAAAAAAACCCTGATAACTTGGCACCTATTCTGTTGATCAGAACTAAAATGTTGTCCTCAGAAATTGCTTTCAGATCAGCGATTCTGAATAGGATCATCACATCAACAGAATAGTGCAACAATACCAATACAGACTAGATGGAACTTTGACTGCACGCAGTCGAAAATGATGCCTCCGTCATAGAGCAATTTTACAATCCAAAACAGAAGCAATTTTTAAAATTCAAGTTTGATTGTAATCCATTAACAGGTTCTCACGATTTTGTGATTACAAGCTATTTCTCATATACAAGTATGACTCGTTTGATCTTTGACCTCATGACCCTAAAATCTAATCAGTTCATTGGCTTTGCAAGATATACATGTCCTAAGTTTGATTGTAATCTATCCGTCAGTTCTAATGAGAATGCGTTCACAAGCTATTTTTGCATGCATAATGAGCCTCATGACCTTTGACCTTGTGACCCCAAAATCTAATCAGTTCATTAGCTCTGCAAGTTACATACATGACTTAAGTTTGGCAGGAATCCATCAATCAGTTCTTGAGACAACATGATCACGAGAACAGGACTTACAGGTAACCCGAAAACATAACAAAGAAGGAATGGTTAGCAGCTATGCTCCAAGAGTTAGAGTGGAACTTCTCAGAAAAAGTACAAAGTTATGACTGAAGGAAATTACACAGGATGGTTGGGTGATTAATTAATTAATCTGAAGATCATTTTACCTGTTTCTGGCTCTCATCATGCTCTTGTTCTTCCTGCGTTCAAACCTTCTCTCGTCATCAGAGCCTTCTGAGCTGGTTGATGAGAGATCACGGGCACCATGGTGTGTCCTGAAAGACCAATGCAATAGAAATAATAATAATAATAATAGATCACATTTATAATGCACATAATACTTTGTTTCTATGCGCAGTATATATTATTACCCAGGTCATCGGACTTGGGCCTTATGGCACAACATGTATGCATTCTCCACTCCCTGAACATTCCGGCTAGTCGCTATTTTACAAGCGCACACTTGCTCATCCAACCACATTAACTTTCGCATCCTACTGTGTACCAATTTATCACTTGGGTGGAGTGGCAAATGTAGATTAACCTCTTGCCAAAGGACATTATTGCTGCGGCGTGACTCGGACCCATACCTTGTGATCTGCAGTCGGGTGACTTATCCACTAGACCACAACACCTCTACAATACAAATTAATAGGGATCAATCACACCAAGCATTATTTTGCTCTATATCTTTGGTGTCTTCTTTACCCATATCAGCTTAATCAGTATCAACAGTGATCCTCTTGAGGGTCCAGGGGAGTGCTCACAAAAACTAAGATCGATTTAAAGTTGGACTTACCTATGGCAGGCCATTCATGCCACTGTTTGCTCTCACCATTAAGATCTTCATATAATATTTTTTCTTTCAATAATGAATTATCAAAAAATATAAATTCTATAGATATGAGACCATGATTTGTGCGTCTCTTGAGAGACCAATGCCAGTAAATGGTGAGAGCAAACAGTGGCATAAACGGCCTGACATTGTTAAGTCCAACTTAAATTCAATCTTAGTCTTTGTGAAACACCCCCCAGTTGACCCACTCATAGATGATGGTTCATAACCTGGAGATCCCAGCTTTGAAACCAAGTCAAACGTGGTGTCCTTGCAAGCAGGGAACAAAAAACAATCGGTCGTACCTTCGTTTTATCCTGGGACTATGTACTGGGGTAAGGTGCTTCTTATGCTTGAAATGACGTCTTCTTAGAGGAGAATGCGGGTTGATGAAATCCTCATATTTCTGCTGGCGTTTCCTCATGGGTTCTGTGTTTTAAAAAAAATAAATATTTGAAAGTTTTTTCTGAATCACAGAAATAAACACTCATGCAGTTTTTACTTTTAAAATCTGTCCCAATTTTTATATTACATGCCATATTTAGAATATTAAGGCATTTGAAGAGCCATGCTTTTCAGGGAATATTTTTATCTGATGTTCTTCCACACTTGTATAATACAATGATAACGCTCACAAATTATCTTTCACCTCTTCTCAGAACTCAACTTTCTCTTTAAGTAAAAATGTTGCTTAGCATTTGGCTTAGTTAGTAAAATTAGATATTAGTGATAGTAACAGTGACTCTGACTCTGATGGATAAGACGCTGATTAGGATGATAAACTGTGCAATAAAGCAGGATAAGAATCATTAGACAATGTGTTTAGAAATTACTGTGTTATTGTTGGCTGACAACTTTATCTAAGCTTAAAATACTCATTTATTACTCTAGTATGGAATTGAATACAGGCCCTGATTTTTACAGCATAATGCAAAATATTTAAAAGTATTCCCCTGCTCTACTAACCTGACATTGGAGCTGAATAGCGATCAGTGATTTGACGATGCTGACGAAGAGAATACTGGGGCTGTGGCTCCTCTCCCTCTTCTTCTGTTTATGATAAAAACATATAAAGTTAAGGGTTTGGTTATAACAGTACAAAATCATGTTTGTGACGACTATGCAGACCTGTTGTGGCATGATTTACGCGCTTGAAGATATCCATTTCAATTAAGTTTACAATGCAAAAAGTTGGTCTCTCTCTCTCTCTCTCTGTTTTACTATCTCTCCCTCAGTCTCCTCTGTCTGCCTATCTCATTGTGTCTCTCACTCTTGCTCTGTACCTCTCTCTCCATTTCTCACCCTCTCCCCCATCTATCTTGATATCTCTCTTCCTCTCCTCTTCCCTCCCGCCATCTATCTTGATATCTTTCTCCCCCCCTCCAATCTATCTTGATATCTCTCTCCATCTCCCCCCCCCCCCTCCCCTCCCCCCATCTATCCCTCTCAATCTAAGAACTGCACTCACCTTCTTCTTCTTCTTCATCATCATCCTCCTCTTCCGAATCGTCCTCCGAATCGTCCTCCGACTCGTCCTCCTCATCACCACTCCCTTTCTCTTGTCTCCTCTTTAGTTTCTCTTCCTCCTTCTCCTGCTGCCTACGTTGTCTTTCCTCCCTCTCTTGTTGTCTCTCCAACTTCTTCGCTATCTGCCTGTTCTTGATACGCGAGTACATGTCAGTGCCGGGCTCACTCTGTCAAACAAGAAAAAGAGTCACCATAATAATAATAATAATCATAATGATAATAATAATAATTATAGATCACATTTACAGAGCTGCCAACCTCCAGAACAGAAAATCAGTAATCACAAGGCTCAAAATCAGTAATTTGGGGTATAAATCAGTAATTTCTTATGCGGCGCTATGAATCTAAAAAAAACGACACGCCAACACTGCGCGGACGCATGATTATCTGAAATTTTTGGTGATTTTACTCACACAAAGATGTTAAGTATTGAATTTCAGGTCATCACAACACAGTTTATCATGAAAAATGGCTCCTATTCACAGCACTCGCTACGATAAATCATATTTAATTCATTAAAAAAAAAAAAAAAAAAAAAAAAAAAAAAAAAAAAAAAAAAAAAAAAAAAAATTAAATCCGTAATTTGAGACAACATTCCGTAATGGTCGTTAATTTCCGTACCAATTACGGGAAATCCGTACTAGTTGGCAGCTCTGCATTTATAACGCACCTAATACTTTGTTTCAAGGTGCAGTATATGTCGTTACCCAGGCCATCAGATTCAGGCTTACCCGCACACAATGAATGCACGTTCTCCACTCCCTGGGGAGCATAACTAAATTTCATTTAAACATTATAATATTTATCACACATCTTTCACACAGAGACGACAAGAATAGTAAAATTCCAAATTCCACTTTTACATATTTTCATTGAGACTTGGCTGTTCTTGATACAGGAGTAAATGTCAGCACATAAATTTTTTATGATTAAACTTATCATTGAAAAATAATTGACATTTACATTTTCTACATCTTCTTCTTCCTCGTCATCCTCGTCCTCATCTTCCTCCTCCTCTTCTTCCTCCTCATCATTAGTTTCTTCTTTCCTAGGTGGTCTCAGGGGCTTCTTCCGGCGAACGATCACCTCTTCAGGGCTCGGGTTTGCACCTCCGGCCAACATCATTTCAGCTATACAAGAGAAGGAAAAAATACTGGTTGGTTTTTTACCAATGAGCTTGAAAACAGATTCCGACACGTTAGAGTCTGTTGAAATGTGCTGTACAGTATGAAGCCTGAAAAAGCTTGAAATGAGGATGTGTCTCTGCCTGAATTCAGGCTATGGCCGGAAAGTACCTTCCCAATAGTTTCCATTTCCACATCAATCTGACCAGAAAAATAAAATATCTGACTTTGAACCTAACTTGAACTTATCTCAAAGTTAGGCTTAAGAATTATGGAAAGCCGTTGGCATCTATGAAAATATTTTGTAAAAGTTATTTCAAAAGGCATAAAATGTTGATCCAAATCATTCATATTTTCTATTATTATCACAGAGATTTCATGTTCTTGATGTGGAATTTATAACAAGTCTAAAATACTTGAATTTTCGCATTTGAATTTATTTCATTTTAAGGCTACAAATGGCTCTTCATTATATTTTAGTCTAACTTAGAGTTAAGTTTGACTTAGGATCTTTGTGAAACACAGCCCTGAACACTTTGTGTGGTAGAGGCAAAAATGATATCAGTTGAATATCTGCTTACTCAGGAGGTTCTGATTCATGGTGCTGTAAATCTGTTTCCTTGGTCGTCGGCTACGGCGTATACCATCCTCATCGTCCCCCTCTTCGATCACCTCCACGTGGCTATCCTTGGTGAGACTACGGAACTCCCTGGATCGACTCAACGCAAACTCCTTCTGGTTCTTGGGCGTCAGCTTGGATGACGTGGAGGGGGCCTGGTTGCTGGGCACGGTTGAGTCGGGGCTGCTCTTGTCTTTGCCCTTGGTCCGCTGCTCAGGGGTGGGAGGGGAAGCCACTGAACTGTGATAGCTAGGAGATGGAAATCAAAGAAAAATCTTCTTCATTTTCTCATTCTTTGAAATGTCCCTTATCATTCTCTGATATGTATAATGATAGTGAGATCATGGTTCCTGTTTCGAGTCCTGCCGTGGCACCAATGTCCTTTGGCAAGACATTAATCTACATTTGCTATACTCCACCCAGATGAGGTAAATGGGTACCTGGGAGGAAGAAATTCCTAGAATGCTTGAGCATCTTTTCATGGTAGCTCGGCTAAAGCCGGGGTAATGATATGATTGCAGGGCCCTCATGGAGAACAGCATTGTACTGATGAGGCTACCCTGGGTAAACAAGACATATTATTATTATTATAAGAAGCAGGTTTACAAGTAGGCCGACTTGTAACTGTATCTCACATGTATGCCAATATATAAATGTACAGGATAGTTTGGTTTAGACAATTAAATCCTATCTTTCTTTCGTAATTGTCCTGAAAATGACGTCTTTGGAGTTGTGTACGCAAGAAAAGTATCAAAATGTGGAACTTGTTCCTCCTTGTTTAAGAAAAGTAAGGATAGGTACCTGGGATTCAATTTTACTTGAGCTAATTACAGAGTGTGGATATGCTTAGGATGTGTTCAAGCGATTTTTTGAAGCTAGAATCACAAACATGAATCACAAATCAAAACGCTGTTACAAAACACGGTTACTGCGGGAGATCGTTCGAGCGATTTTCCATCAATGCTGATTCTCGCTCATTTCAAGCCCAACCACTGCGCATGACATGGGGGAATTTGTCCAAGAAAGTATAGGTCAACTTTGGCAAGCGCTTTCTGAGTTTGTTTACGGTCGACTGTCAGCAAAACTGGAAGCAGGCCACGATAATGACGTCATAGAATCATGATTGAGATCTCCGTTTCTTTCAAGCGAACTTTTAGCGACCGTGATTTTGCAGAACCACGTTACAAAACGCATATTTTTTCAGCGTTTCATGTTTGCTTTTTGGAACACGTTTAGTTTTAAGACCAAAGAAAATCGCTTAAAAGCTACTGCCTTTGAAAACTGCATTTCTAGGGTGAAAACCTGTTGCTTGAATGCACCCTTAGACATACGTAGTTACTTGTCAGCGTCTGTTGGATCAATGTTTCTTACCTTCTTCTGGTCATGCCTCTGTATCCTGAACTCTCTTCTGAGTTCCCTCCTGATGCTCTCATCGAAACGATCCTTTGTCTCTTGCTCCTGGGAGTGTTGTCATCCCCACTAGATAACATATTGTCCTGTCATGAAGGAGAGAGAGAGTTAACACATGTGTGAATCTATATTATAAGATAATGATGTGGATCCTAATCAAATGATTGGTTGAAAGCGTACACGTGACCAGGCATTTATTTTGCCTAACGCGTAATTTGGATAATGACCGATCATTATCCAATTCTAATGACTGGTCATTAGTAAAATCATGTTATAAAACATCATTTTATAAAACAAATAATACACATCATCTGTCACTGATTTTGGTCATTTGTCATTGAACAAAGGCTTTGTGAAACAGGTCCCAGGTCTTGACATCAGGTAAGGTTGTCTGGTTACCCAAACTTTTGTGAAAATGTACCCCCATATTAATAAAAGGTCTGGTGTAATGTTAAAAAATTACACCCCTCTTATAGCCAAAGTGTTGGGTCTAGTTTACCAGACACTTTCTGAAAACTTTACTACGAAAGGTCGGGTATTGACACAACAATTATATCAATACAGGATAATCACAAGAGTTCATGAAAGGCAATCAGTACTTGTCAGATTGCATGGGCATATTGTCACAAAATGGTTACTTGTCTCACAGACCATCATTGTGGACCAATGCGTGCAGCGCTTACTGTAGTAACCGCAAGGGAAAGGTAAAAATATGATTATTTTATTTGAATTACCAGACCTTTTAGGGAATATGGAGGCATGTTTCCTCAAAAGTTTCACTTACTCTTGATTTGTTGTGCTGCTTCCTGACACAAATTAATATATTTTCAACTGCTTCCTCTAACTATTACTAAATACCGTAAGAAGAGGTCTGAGCACACTCACGTACCCCTCCCCCTTCACAACATAAACAACCCCCAAAGAGTTGCTTATTCTCAATTAATTATGTCACTCTCCAGTACTTGGTTCTAACCTCTGCATTCTTAGAAAATATGATTTGTTTTGTTAGCAAAATGTTATAACAAATTAAACATTAAAGTACTAGGACAAATCATTAGTAAATAAATGTCTGCGCAAAACTGATAGCGTTTGTCTTAGATCTACATCAGGGCATGCACCAGGCAGTAGGGTATCTGATCGCGCACTCAGTTTTGTGTGCTAAAATCCTTCCCATAGAGATTGCACACATCCCTCCTATTCAGGCCATGTTTATTGCAAAATTGGTCAATGTTTTTATTACCAAAATGAGATTCAAACCAATACTGCTCGTTATCCTGAAGGTGATACTCAATAAGTGAAGTGTCATATGAAAGAGCAGGTTTTTCTCCATATTCCCCAGAGGGGCTCACCCCCAAAATTCTAAAAATATCTTGATCAAAACAACAATTTAAACATTGTTTCCATGGTAACTCAGAGATTTACAAATTTCATGAAGAGAGCCCCCGAGGGATAAGTAGGGCCAGCTTTAAGGATCCATGCGCTTATCTTTTCTCTAGTCCCAAGGGATCACAAGCAGTTGCAGTTTGAAAATACCCGTAATCCACGCTTTGCATATCGTGCCGTGCAGTGCACCTTTTTTGAGCAAAAATTATAACTCTGCGTGTACCGCTTTTTCGTCCATTCTGACCAAAATGCTATGAAAATTGACTAGATTTGGGGGGGGGGGGGGGCGGGTGTATCTTTTAATAGAAACATCGGTGTGTCTTGAAATTTGAAATGTGTAGTTCTGAGTAAATGTAGGGTGTCTGAACGATTTTTCAATTTTCAATTTGGGATCGTTTTTCACCATTTTTGTTTGATATTTGAATTAAAAATGTAATCAGAATAATACATTTCAAATTTCAAGTCTCACCGATGTTTCTATCAAAAGATACAGCCCCTCCAAAACGCAGCAATATTTATAGGATTTTGATCAGAATCGATGAAGACGACGTACACGCAGAGCTATGTTGTTTTGCTAAATTTAGCCAACAGCTGTATCGCGCGATATGCAAGCGTATGCATAGCGTACGCATGTCATGCGCAACTTGCAGCTTGAGCCACGCTGTCTCCGCGATATGTGCCATTGACTAGTATGGCAAGTCGTTCGCGCCATAAAACCTGGAAGTGAATACACGTTATCGTCAATGGCAATATCGCAGAGACAACGTGCACGTTGTCTCCGCGATATTGCCATTTACTATAACGTGTATTCACTTCCGGGGTTTATGGCGCGAACGGCTATCCATACTTTCATTCACTATACGCGCAGATGTTACGCGATGTAACCATGGTTTGGACTGAGCGGAGCTCACGCCTCCCTAATTAGCTGATTACAAAAATGTCCAGGAAGGGTATTTTAAAACTGTTGGGGCAAGTGATCTCTTGGGGCTAGCGAAAAAATAAGTGCATACATATTTTCCTTACGTCTTGCCGGACATAAGCCCGGGGGTGCAGCTCAGGAAAGTGGCAAATTTTGGAGCTAGGATGCAAACAACATTTAAATCGCTGTTTTGACCAAGATATTTTTAGAATTTCGGGGGTGCGCCCCTTTGGGGAATATGGAGAAAAACCTGCTCTTTCATATGACACCTCATTTATTGAGTTTCACCTAAAGGATCACAAGCCCTAAAGGTTTGAATTTCAATTTTTTTCATAAAATCATTGACCAATTTCCATGGTCGCGCAATGCACGTAGACTGCATAGGGATGCGTGCAATCTCTATGGGAAGTATTTTAGCACACAAGATCGGGTGCGCGATCAGACACCCTAGATCGGGTAAAAAAAAATTCCAAATATCCAACCATAATGATGACAAACGATCCAAAAGAGAAAATTGAAAGATCGTCCAGTCACCCTACCCTAGCACCAGTCCAGTGTTGATTCAGTTTTATTTAGTGACAATTAACATTGTTCTTCCCAACATAAAATAAAAGAAAACATTATTTTTACTATAGAATATGGCCCCTGACCTTGTTCTGTTTATTGTTTTTAAATTAATTGACTCTGACTCTTTGAGATTTTAATTTGTATCTGTCACTTGTCATCGATCATCACATCATCAGGACATCACATTGATTCAGTCACTCACAATCACCATGATCAGATCATATTCAGTCAACTATCTGAATAGAATTTCAGCAAAGAGAAAGTACCTAACTACCATACCATTGGTCACTCTTTTTCTCTTACTCTTCCACAATATCAGCAACATGAATGGCAGACATACAACAAACACTTTATTCAATAATCGCTTGCCGCGCCAAAACAGCTGCACTTCCGATGTCTGCCCCAAAGAAACACACTGGTAAAGCGCACACACCTTGCCTCCGAGTTTTTGTGTTGCGGTGCACGGGCAGACATTCTCCTCATAAATATTATCGAACGGTGCTCCGCTTACGGCAGCCTGCATAGAAACAGTGCCTGGGCGCCCCGCCACAGAAACCCCATAGAACACACACAATACGCTCACATACATTAGGCTCGCAAGAGAAACGATTTCACGCAAAGGAATACAATTTTCCTCACCTCTGCATCACTTCTTGAAAATCTCTTGGCATTTCTGGAACGGAGAGAAAGAATTTCTCCTCCTGGACTAGTATCCACGTCGCCCCCGTGCCGGGTTTTCACCATTTTGGTTACTTTAGCGCCGTTCTACTCGCGTTGAGTGCACAATTCCGAGTTTACACGATAACCTTTCACCGCGCGCACGCCAGTTCACCGAGAGTTCAATCGGCTGCTAAAGACTTGCGCTTAGACAGAAAAAAAGTTCATTTACATATGATTAAATCTACTTATAAAATCATATAATATTGACTATGAATATGAAAAATTATAAACATATAACATGGATCATTATAATCAAGAGAAATTTTAGTCTAAATCTATATTTACCCGTTTGTGTATAAAGGAGTAAGCGGCTTGATATTTGTGAACTTATGGGGTGAGGCAAAACCGTGATGGCGCGAAAGACGAATTTGAGTTCGCGCCATTCCATGTTTTCAATAAATTTAGCTATTTTAAAGTCAATTAAAAGAAATTTTCCATCCAATGTATGAGAATAACTTGTTTTCATTCTGTAAAACTTCAAAGTATGCAATTTTGAGCTATTTCCACTGAGTTTTACAAGTTTCAAAAGTGGCTGTGCAACCAGATGATGTGTTTGTTATGATCGCGATCAGCTGTGCTACTTTGCATATAACATTACACAACCAAAGAGGGGCAGCCAATCAAAATCCAGCTATCATTGAACTTATAAAATCTCACATAACGTAAACTAAGAAATCGAGCATTCATGCCATAAATAATTGGTCTGAACATTAAAACAAACCAAATCATTTACTTGTTGTAACTGTTTTTATGTATTTCACTCATGGATATATAGACCTTTTAACGTGTGGTGTTTTTTGCCACTGAATATACGCTGTTGCTCATAAAGTTGGATTTTTTTTTTAAACCCCAATTTATGGAAATTTTTTGACGATGATTTATTCCTAATAGATCTAGATAATAGTATACATTCTCAGATTTTATTGAATAATAATTTGCTAGTGTTTGTTTTGCGTGACTGCTAAAGCATGTGTATGCTAATATGCTTATCAACTAGGGGACCTACGCCCTTAAGTCATGAATGACAGTATGATGCGGAGGATTAATGCCCCACAAAAGGGCACTTATATAGCACATCGACACGGTTTTGATCCTGTGGCCTCACGTACAGTTACGAGGCCATTGCTTTGCCACTGAACCATGACTGCAGGCGCGGATCCAGGGGGGCCGAGCGGGCCTTGCCACCCCCCCCCCCCGCCAAAAAAAAAGGAGAGAGAGAGAGAGAGAGAGAGAGAGAGAAGGAAAAGGGGGAAAAAAGAAGAGGAAGAAGAAAAGAAAAGAGGGAAGAAGGAGATCGGGGGGGGGGGGACTTGCCTCCCAGGCTGTTGCCTCCCCCCCCCCCCTATCAGAAAAAAAAAAGAGAAGATAAAGGGAAGGGAAAAGAGGAAGAAGAACAGAAACTCAGTTGCAATTTTCCCGCCAACAAGTTGTGAAACGGGGAGGCAAACGGGCCCTTGCCCCCCCCCCCCCGGTCCCCGCTACAAAAACGAGAGAAGCCGAAGGAAAAGGAAAAGAGGAGAGCTGAAAGGGAACAAAAAAAAGGAAGAAGAAAAGAAAAGGGAGAAAAGAAGGGGAGATCAGATGCGGTTAAGGCCCGTCAACAATGTGTGGAGCGGGGGTGGGGACCAAAATGACCTTGCCCCCCCCCCCCCAGCAAACCTAAAAGAGTGAGAAGGAAGGGAAGGGAAAGTTAAAGAGGAGAGAAAGGGAAAGAATTTTTTTTCCGCCAACAACCTGTAGATCGGGGGGGGGGGGGGGTACTGGCGTACTGATAGAGGAGGGGGGGGGGGGCTTTGGGGGAAATAAAATTCAAACGTGGTTTACTTCTAATTCCATAACGGTGGTTTACAAATAATGCTGAAATGACATAATTTTCCGATATTTTTCCTCACTTTTAAGTAAATTATACTTTTCTATGCGTTTGTTGGAAAATGACAAATTCCCAAATTTACAGCCAGGCAAGAAAATGCTTCTTGAGATGCCTACATGTCAGGGCCCGCGGAACTACGGGGATCGGGATCCTCGACAGGATCCTCGAACCCCCCCCCCCCCTCCCCCACACACTTTTTTTGAAAAAGTATATTAAAGAGAAATAGAAAGAAAAAGAGCAAAAAAGAAAAAAAATAGTTAACTGCCAGTGTCACATTATAATGAGGTATAAAAATATGCTCATCTGACAATGATTAAATGCCTAAAACCCCAAGGACTCTGCCCCCTGGATTCCACCGAGGGTCCTAAGGCGGGCCCTTAGATGCTCATCTGACGGTAATTTAATGCCTAAAACCCCTGAGCTCCTGGGGGCTCCGCCCCTGGACCCCACACCAATTAGTGACCTACCAGTGCCACAAAATTAATAAGGTATCAGGATATGCTCATCTGACCGTAATTAAATGCCTTAATTCCCTTGACTTCCGGTGGCTCTGCCCCCTGGATTTCACCTAGGGCCCAAAGTCAGGCACCTGGATGCTAATCTCACGGTAATTTAATGCTTAAAACCCCTGAGCTCGGCCCCCTGGACCTAACGCCAATTGGTGTCCTGCCAGTGTCACAAATAAGGTATCAAAATATGTTTATCGTCGGACCGTAATATAATGCCTAAAACCCCTAAGTTCCCGGGGCTCCACCCCCTCGACCCCACCAGGGGCCCTAAAGTGGGCCTAAAGAGCACTTTTTAAAATCTTTGTTTGTGTGTTGTGTCCAATTTGTGAGGAAATATTTAGCGGCAAATCAGCAAGCCGGTGAATAAGCGGGGGGAGGTTAAGAAACACTAATTAATTTTTGGGGGCGAATTTTTTGATACTTTTTCAGGGGGAGGCCCACGAAAGCTCGAGAGCTTATTTCCAGTGGTGTTCCTTTAATGCATCCCTGAAGAGGACGCCATATCTCATTAATTGACATTTTGGGATTCAAGAGTTCAGCGCTTCAGCTTATAAAGTCTTTTTAACTTGAATGAGTTGCACTGATTGACATATACAATTTGGATTCTGAAACTTTTGTATAATAAACGATCGAAGTGAGCGGTCAAAAACAAGTCTTGGCTTATGAATTATGGGACAAATGGCAACTCGGACAGGTACGGACGGGGAAGAAAAAAAATTAATAGTTAGATGCGGAACAATAAACTGTCGGAGGTCTGGTCGCCTTGGTTGAGCTATAAAACAACGTTTTCACCCCCCCCCCCCCAGTTAATGCATGCATCCTTATAAGAAATTTAAAAGGTTCGTGTCAAACTAATCCAAAAACGTTGTCAGAAGATGTGTTGCCTCACCCGAGCACTCGTCAATTACCCATGTGCCCAAGTGAGGGGCACGTTAATTTCTAAATTTTGTGAGCGAGCGAGCAAAAAATAAATATAACAAGAATTCGAATCAGAAAAGAAATTTTTTAATTTTTGGCATAAATTTTGTGTTGTAATCATATCATAATCGACATTCAATATTCTATCACTTTGATACACGAATGCGACTTTTTATTAAAATACAAAGGATAAGGGGCACTAAAGTCGGTAAAAGGGGAATCTATCAGATTTGGATATTGGCACTTGTCAGAGGTGAAAAGAGGTATTTATATTTATGAAAAAAGGGAAAGGTGCACTTATTACAAAATGAAAAGGGGGCATATATCAGAAGGAAAAAGGGTGCATTTGTTAAAAACGAGAAGGGTACTATAACGGAGGGGAAAAGGGGCATTTATCCGGCCAAAAAGGGGGCACTCATCAGAGGTGAAAAAAGGCACTAATTAGAAGGGGAAAGAGCATTTATTACAAAGTAATAGGGGCACTCGTCAAATTAAAAGTGCACCTATCAGATTTGAATAGGGGCTCGAGGTGAAAAGGGAAGTATAAAGGAAGGGGAAGCTTAGAAGAAAAAGGGACACATTCTGTAGTAAAAGGGGCATATTTCCTTCCTAATAAGGGGACATTTTGGGATCCTTGAAAAAGTGGGGGCACTGTAAGACTTTGCCCTCATCCCCTGGAGCGTGGAGAGTCTTTATGATTTGATGAGTCTTCTCAGCGTTTTGTAAATGTAGCTCAGACGAAAGTTGAAAATATGATTATTTTTGCTTCAATTTGTTTTTTGAAGATACCACACTCAGTAAATAGCGGCGGCATTCCTCGGTATTCCAGAGAAAAGAAGAATTAATTGCCACTCAAAAAGCCTAAAGGTACGTGGTATGTAATGCTACTGAATCAATATGCTTCTTTTACTTATCCAGGAAATATTAGGGAATATAAAGTAACGTTTTATTTCTTTAAAGGAATTCAAATCATCATCTAGAGTTGAGATTTTACACTTAGCTACGATGTAAACAAATTTGTATTATTGTCCCATTAATATATTTCCGTGTAGGCCTAGTGTCCGATTGTATTCGCCGGTGATTCGTCGCGTCGAGAGCGAGTCAAGGCTCGACTCGAGCGAGCGCTTGTCACGATCACGCTTGAATTGAGTTGAAGAATTATTTTGTGCAGCTTTAATTGATCTCAACTCTTCTTATTTTGATTTAATTTGAACTGCCATAGCTATTCTCATCATCATTTAATTAAACCAATTTTTTTACAGTGTGGAAGTGTGAATTGTGATCATGGTCGTGATTGTCACTTTGTGAATTTGATGCAAAATTTCATGTTGCATTGTACCACTAGTTTTTTTCAGTAGGGGTGCTGGTTCGAGAAAGAGGATCGTCCACATTTAACAAGGATATCCTCGTCGTATACGGGGACAAAATGCGTCATTATAAATAAGGATTGTCCCAACTTTTTTTCTTTCCGCGGCGCTCTGCAGGTTTTGGGTTCCCAATCCGCACGCTTGCGATGCGAAAAATGGATTCCGCATAATAAAATACACCCAGTTCACCGTCTACTTTTTATGGGTTGTCCGTCTTCCTGAGGATTTATCGCTTCACATCTTTAACGCGCGGGTCGGGAATCAGTTTACAAAGACAATCCTCGTTCGTGCGGACGATCCTTATTCTCGGACCAGCGCCCCTACTGCTTGCCTTTCACATGTTCCTGAGGCTGATGATAATTAGTGAATGTGTGATTTAAATTACAAAAAAAATGACCTCTTACGAGAGTTCGCGATGTTAGTTCTGGCTGAAATGCAAAGACACATGGTACACACGTAAGCAACTGTTTTTGCATTGTCAATTTGATGCTTACTTTATGATAAAAGCCATTAGTTTACTATATGAAGGCACACAAACGGAGTTCGCTGTATGAATTGGTTCACATTGTTCTAACAGTTTGCATTATCAAAAGCACCAAAAATCCTTTATTCTTACCATAAGTAGATTAAATATATTTTACCAAATTTGTTTGCATCTCATTATTTATAGTTTTGACAGCATGCTACATGTCGATTGGTTTGGTTCTCTGATATTTTTTTTTCATCATAACAAAAACTCGAGATTACATTTCAAGACGTCAAACATCTCAATAATCGTGATGTCATTGCGATTATTTTATATTTTTTCTTCTTATGCAGATCAAGAATGTAGCTTGTTGCATTTCTCCAGCTTTTAACATTGGCCCAGGCTTGGGCTCATCCTTCAATATTCAGATTTGAACAAGTTTACCTGAAAAAGCAAGTAGACAGTTAGCCATCATGTCGCAGTAAGTATCATACATGGATTTAGAAATAAAAGAAACATGTTTTGAGCAGGGTTCCATTTCACACCTAAAAGGGAGTTCAGTGTGAGCTTCTTGTATACTGCCGGTCATTGGTTCTTTGTCTTTGTGTCCCCTTACCCCCCCTCCCCCCCACGATACCAAAATGATCATGTTCAGAAACTAGTTTTTTGCAGGTAAAGTACCATGATTAAAGGGAAATATTTTCTTTCCTTATCTGATAAAGTGTAAATGTTCATTAAAAACTGGATGGAATTCGACTGCGCGCAGTCGAAAATGATGCCTCCGTCATAGAGCAATTTTACAAACCAAAACAGAAGAAATTTTTCGGATTCAAGTTCAATTGTAATCCATTGACAGGTTCTCAGAATATCGTGATTACAAGCAATTTCTCATATACATATATGACCCTTTGATCTTTGACCTCATGACCCTAAAATCTACTAAGTTCTTGGCTCTGCAAGATGTCCTGAGTTAAATAGTAATCCATCTGTCAGTTCTAATGAGAATGCGTTCACAAGCTATTTTTGCATACATAATGAGCCCATGATCTTTGACCTTTGACCTTATGAACCAAGAATCTACTCAGTTCATTGGCTCTGCAAGTAACATACATGACCTAATTTTGGCAGGAATCCATCAATCGGTTCTTGAGATAACGCGATCACAAGCTGTTATTGCATACATAATGTGTGCTGTGGCCTATGACCTTTGACCTCATGACCACTAATTCTAATCAGTTCATCGGCTCTGCAAGTAACATACATGACCTAAGTTTGGCAGCAATCCATCAATCGGTTCTTGAGATAACGCGATCACAAGCTGTTTATGCATACATAATGAGCCCTGTGACCTTTGACCTTTAACCTCATGACCCCAAAATCTAATCAGTTCATTGGCTCTGCAAGATACATGCATGACCAAAGTTTGGCAGGAATCCATCAATCGGTTCTTCAGATAACGCGATCACGAGCTGTTTTTGCATACCTAATGAGCCCTGTGACCTTTGACCTTTGACCTCGTGACCCCAAAATCTAATCAGTTCATCGGCTCTGCAAGATACATACATGACCAAAGTTTGGCAGGAATCCATTGATCGGTTCTTCAGATAACGCGATCACAAGAACGGGACGTACGTACGTACAGACGTACGTACGGACGGACGGACAACCCGAAAACATAATGCCTCCGGCTACTTCGTAACGGAGGCATAAAAAAATAAGCAGGTTTGAATAGAAATTCACAAGCTGTCAGATATCTGGGAAGTATATCATCATTGGTGATATGTACTCGGTAGTTGGCGCAGTAATATTAGCACATACCGGTATGCTTCATCCTGTATACAATTTTATTACATTCAAAGACGATTATTTAACGATCAAACTGCTTTCAAAGCTAAGTCAGGAAGTAGTAGATTATAGAATTACAATTTTATTTCAAGAAACATTGGGGGTGTTTCCCAAAGATCCTAAGTGGAACTTAAAAATTATGGAGAGTCATTTGTAGCCTTGAAATAAAATGTGTTCAAAAGCAGAAAATCAATTATTTTAGACTTTTTATTAAACCACATCAAGAACATGAAATCTCCTTGATAATAGAAACTACCAATGGTTTGAATCAACATTTTATGCCTTTTAAAATAGCTTTTACATAGTATTTTCAAAGATGCTATAAACGGCTGTCCATAATTGTTAAGTCCAACTTAGAGATAAGTTTGACTTAGGATCTTTGTGAAACACCCCCATTGACTGCTTTCTTTTTCCATAGGACATTTCGAGAGAAGATTGAAAAACGTCGGCGTGACATGAGGGAGAACACCATGGCCGACTCCACCCTGCTAGCTGATACCAGCTCCGCCACACCAGGGAGGGGCAGCAGACATGATGAGGATATCTCTGCTGCTGATGGTGGTGTGGATGATGTCGAAGAAATGGCAGCTGATGTAAGTATAGATATAAAGTATGACTATTATTTTTAAACAGAATAATGAGGTATCGGTAGCTTTAGCATTCCTCTGCCCTTTAAATGTGACCAGCTCCTGTCTTTGTCATTGTATGAAGAAGATTTGTTGATTAATGAATACATGCCTATCAAGCATAGTAAAATTATTTCCTTGTGAGGGGTATAATCATGGAATTGGTCAAAATTTAATGAGGGAGGGGGGCATTTGCTGTGCACACAGTATTTGAAAGGTTTGTCATCCAAGTGATTGGTGGTGCTATTGAGCTGTGTACCCTCTCAAAATTTCTTGTCAGATTTGCCCTTGTGAACAGATAAGTTCCAGGATGTATAAGACGTGTACAAATTGTGTGATTAATGAGAACTGTCTTGTAAATTCCAAGATAAATGGGACCATATAAAAGTTTGTTCTGATAAGGCAAGCTAAACCGCTGCCAAAAATTTGCAGTAGTTTTGTATGTGTAAAATGATTGGCAACTGCACCCAACAAAGGACTTGCACGTATTTATATGAAGTGGTCTTTATGGGCAGGTGGTCTTTATGTACAGGTTCCTTTAGTACAGGTTTCAATGAGAAACCATATTCAAGGGAAATGAAAAGTGTGGTCACATGTTTGACTGAATTTCTTTCTTCTTTTCCCTGATCAGCCCATTGAAGAGATACAGCAGGCAGAGTCCCTCATGGAAAAGCTCACACTAGACAGAGAATCAAAGAAGAAAGAGGTATGTAAGAATGTGGTATTGCGCAAAGCCTTGTTTGATGGTGAAGTACGAACACTTAATTAATTTTTGTCTCGCCTGCATAGCAAAAGCGTGACGGCGGTGTCAATATCGAAAACTTAACCTAAGGTTTCCATTGTGCCATCAGCTGTTTCAATCCCTAGAGCCCGCTGACGAGGAGCTGGAGAAGAAAAACAGCCCAAACCAAAGAGAAGAATCATGGCTGCAGAGATGATGATGATAGCTAAAGCTTTAACTATTACTGTTACTATCACTACACGTATTAGCATAGATAGATGATAAATAGATAGATTAATGGATTTTATTTAGATCTTCGTGTCTGGCGGTTAAAAACTGTAATGATCATGAATTACAATACAAATTTTCAAAGAACATTAACACAATAATATGAGATACTGCTTACTGCACCTGCACTTGCACTGCACCCTCTTGATCACTCAGTTTTCCAAAGAGAGGTATGTCACCAATTCTTTTTTTTATGAGGCCGCCATCCATCTCCAGCCTAACCGCTCACGATTGTGGTCTCCTGCATTCTATTTTACCTCTCTAATTTATTGAAAAATATTCACTATATATTTCTTATCCTATTTGTATGCTTTGTACATGTTTATCGTATAATATAATTGTACATGATTTTTTCTATTTAATTACTTATGTAAACATTTAATTCATTGTATTTGTTGTTATTCAAATTTGCATATTTTGAATATGTATTTGTATCTGTTTGAACGCAGAAATAAAATCAATCAAACAATCAAACAAGCAAGATACCAATAGGTCACTTCTGCTTAACTCTACTATTTCCATTATACCATCAGCTGTTTCAATCCCTGGAGCCCGCTGACGAGGAGCAGGAGAAGAAAAAGCCCAAACCCAAGAGAAGAACCCCTGCAGAGATTCCCACCATCCAAGAGACGGGAGAGGAGGAGGATGAAGAACCAGATGAAGATACAAAGCCAAAGAAAAAGGAGAAAAGAAAAAGAAACAAAGCAGGTATACTTTCACTCTCCCATTAATTTAAAGACGGTGTAGCATGGCAAATACTGGTTAACGCCATTTACGACTTCTTTTGGAAAACTGCACGCAAACGAATGGAATTGATTAACGGTCAGCACGGACTTGCGTTCACGAAACAGACTGAAGTTCTCCTCACGCTTACATAAATATTGCGGTCGCGGCGTCTGTAGTCATATTATACCCGATTGGCCCTGAGTCAGGCCACATAGACACAAAAGACACATAGTCTCGTCGTGCTACACCCCCTTTAAGATACATGGGACCTGATAGAAGTGAATGAAGGCAGATTTTGATGAAATTTGATGATTTCTTAGTTTTGTAGTTCAATGTCAGCTTTAATATGGCACTCATAAAGAAAGGAGGAACAGAAATATTCACTTGTACATATTGATTAAATGGTAATATCTATAAAAATGTAGGAAACATCAAGATTGATACACAATTTGAATTATTGCGGGGACAAACTGAACGTTACAACAGTTTAGATGTTTTACATCTTGAATATTATATTTAAAATGGATTAGAAAAGAGAAGAAATTTATGATGTAATGAAAGGAATAAGAAATAATAATGATAGAGAAGTTAGGAGTTATCGTTGTTAACCATTTTAGATGATGTACAGACCCCAATCTGTCATTATTTTATCAAAATCATCATTATCTTAATTTGCAGATATGGCAGCAGCTGTACTAGGATCCAAGACCAGTGTGGAAACTGGTAAAGCGCCCTCCACGATGAATGCCACCATCAGAGACAGGATTAGGAAGAAGATGGCAGAAGCAAAGGTATGGCTGATTACCGGACTGTTGTTATCCCATTCAGACCGTCTTTCCATCTTTCTCCTCCCCACCCATCACCATTGGAGGTATTATATGTGTTTAGCCCTCTACCCCCCATCCTGCTTCATGCCAAAGGATAGTGTGTGTGTGTGTTGATTGCTGTTTTGCCTTTTCAGCCCCCATCCCCCTCTCCCCGTCACTTACTTCCCCTAACCTTGCAAAGGTGATGGTTATAATAATAATAATAATTTGAATTTGAATTTGATAAGGTTTTATTTGAATATTCAACAATACAGCTGGAGGCTGATGCAAGTGAATTTACAAGGTAAAAATAATTTCATAGACATAAAAATATAATTATATGCTTTAACACTTTTAAATGAATCCAGATATAAACAGTACATAGTAAATAAATCATAAATAATGAAAACAATAATAATATTGAGTTCGGTTTGCATACTTGGATATGAAATAAATAGAAATTCAAAGGGTGTAAGATCAGATATACAGTTTGAGAGTCGGAGCAGGACATTTTGATAATGTATTAAGAGAAAAATTATTGTTGGTTAACAGTCTTGACAGTTTTTGACATTTTGAGGTAGTTTGTTCCAAATTTCAGCAGAAGCTTTGCTAAAAGAGCGATAACCATAAAAGAAAGAGTTGACACCGAAGTAGACAAGAGGTTTGATTGTGAAGATGACCGTAGATTGCATGAGGGTTTGTATTCCTGGATTAATTCTTGCAGATAAATTGGTGCCAATTCATGAATACATTTATAAGTTAAAACAAAGATGGTGTCTGATGGTGATTATGGTTTCTATTTTATGTTGCAGGAGAAAGCTGAAGAATCAATGAAGGTTGAAGTTGCTAATGACCCTAACAAAGACCTTCCAGCCAGGAGGCTCAGAGGCCTCAGAGCCAGGGACAAGGCTACAAGATTCGACGAACCCTCACTGGTAAGGTCAAAATCTTCCCAGGTCAAAGGTCAATAAATTCTGGGAAAAAAATAAGGTCATTTAAGCCCCACTGCCATACTTATAGCAACTTGCGCCCTCTATATAGCAAACAATGCCTAATCGGTGCTTGTTGGTCCCCCATGGTCCCCTTTTTCTTATGTTAATTGAGAGCTGATTTGATGAGATAACCACCTACCAGTGACCTTGCAGGGAGGTCTAATCCCTCCATACCAAACTAGTGCAGACGGCCTTTAACTCTAGTGAAAACAATACACTTAAGCAGAGTGCAATTTAGCTCTAGAAAGGTCCAAAGAGCTCATGATGCTGAAAAAGAAAACAAGAGAAGATTTCTTTTGCAAATTAAGAGAAAACCGATAGAGCCTTGAGGAGATCTCAGTTTCCATTTGAAAATCCTAGGACAGTTGGAAACATAAATCTAACATACCGGTAACGTGTACACAGAACTATTCTTGTATGTTGGGGTCTTTTTGTGCAGGTGGTAGTTCAAGTAACCCAGTAACATTGCCTCAGATTCTGAAACAAAATTCTAGATTTAACTCATGCTGCAATCATAATTATAAAACTTTAGGTCAGTCAGGAATCCAGTGACTTTTACAAGCCTTATCGCCTGTCTGATTATCAAGATATTTATGATTGGAAAATCGAAATTTCATTTTTGTTTTCCTAATGGTTTTTATAACACTACAGTCTATTGGGGAAAATGAGTACAGTATGGTAAAACCGGTCACTCAAAGATTTAAAATGTTTTTAAGGCACTTCATGCTCATTTTTAGGGCCATGCATCTCAGATTTGTAAAACTGGAAACATTGTCAAACAATGCCTTTAAAGCAGGTTTTAATGACATATTATTAATACTTCTTTCCTACAGCTTACCAAAGAGGAGATCGAGGAAGATAAGATGCTGAATGAATCCATAATCGCCAAGGAGAAATGGAGAGAAGCATTCAAGCAGGTCAAAGCCAAGGTACAGTTGAGGTGACAAGAATTCTGACTAGGCCTGTATTCATCAGCTCGAGATTGCCAAATATCCCGCTATTTTAACTATCCCGATCATAAATCATCCAGTTAATATGCGTCTTCATCAGCCTGAAGTTGCAATTAGTGGGATATTTGGTTGAGATAATCATCCCAAGATATCTTGGGCTAGTTTGCAAAACATCCCGCTATTTGTCCGGTGCGTCTTCACCAGTCCGAAGACTCGCACTATGAGCAAACGCTGAGCAAAATATCTCGAGCTTGAGTTTCAAGTTTCGAGGTCGAGTCTCGAGCTAATGAAGACGCGATTTGTAACTTCAGGATTATTTCCAAAATCAGAAAAAGCGGGCTATTTGGTAATCTCGAGCCGATGAAGTCAGGCCTACTGGCAATCGCTTTGATCGCTTCAATCGCTTGAAGAAGTCGAGGGTTTTAGTAAAGACAGAACTTGGGCATTTTACCTTACAAATGCACTTACTCTCTCTTGACATTATGGTAGTCAAGGGTTCGTGTAAAGATGAAAGAGCCCTCATAAGTTTCAGCAATATTAGCACTTGAATTGTAAGACTTGGAATAAAAGAATACAAAAATCGTCAAAGGACTTAATTGGATAGAGCATGTACTGTGATGGAGCAGCATTCTTGAGTTCAAGTGATAAAATTACAAAAAATCTTTGCCTAATTTATTTTGAACTAGATGGATACTTTGATTATTATGTATTTAATTAATTGTATTTCATTTGGACTCTGATGTACCGCTCTTGTCATATAATTTCATCCTTTTGCTAAGACGCTTTGTATTTATTTTCCTTTTAGGAAAATATTGTTTCATAATTGTATTTCCTGCACTGTCAACTTTGTTTACATTTGTGAAATGAATGAATAGAATCAATGAAAACAAAATTCAATAAAATGAACTTGACTTTTCAGCAATCGGCTCTCCCAACTGAAGAAGAAGCCTTCAACTTCTTCACCCGCAACTTCGATCCGGAACCAGAAACGGCCGAGATCAAAACAGAACCCTCATCCGATGACCAGCCAGGACCCAGCACTTCGAAGGGGGTTTCAAAGAAACCGAGGGGCGAGGTCATAGAGGAGGAGGGGGAGGGGGAGGGGAAGGAGAGCACACCCTTGCTGTCAGAGGTATTCGTTGATGGAGATATGTGGAAGTTGCAACCGACGCAGCTGGTTCCTGCCGAGTATGTACCTCTGGGGGTGAGGGAGAAGAAGGAGGAAGGTTACTTCTTTGTTCCGAGCATCAAAACAGGTAGGGACCTACAATTCTTCTTCCTCGTTTGGTATTATAATGGCTATTAGTCAAATTTGACTATTGTTGCCAATTTCATCGCTTCTCTTTCTTTTAATGTCTTGGTAAATTTCTTTTTTTTTTTTCTTTTTTCCAATCTCATTTTAATATAATATTAGTCATAGTCTACATAGTGTTCCAGAGAACACCCAATGTACATGTATGGTGTAAAAAGCTGGCAAATCTTGTGTTTATTGTCCCTTTTTATGATGTTTAGTGGTGGTTATTTTACCTGACTGCTAAGACAGCATAAATGCTTGTTAGTAAGCAACCAGACAGGCGACGGCTTTAGGTCATCTCCAAGGGACCTGGTAATGAGGATTAATGCCTTGATTACCAAAGGGCACTAGCTCATCGACTTGGTTTCGAAACCGGGTCACTGGATTACGAGACCACTGCTCTACCAACTGAGCTATCGCGCCTCCTCAAGTTGTGGAGTAAACAGGAACTGGGTCTTTTACCTGATTTTCAAACTACTTTGTTTCAAGACTTTCCTTTCAGGCAAAGTTACCTAAATGATGATTACTCTGGCCAATATTCTAAACTGTATTTTTAACTTAATGTTGGACCAAACACTATACCTGACCCTAACTTAAACCTATCCTAAAAGCCAATGGCAAGCGTAACCCCAATATCTTTGATGAAATATAGCTCAGAGCAGTTGTCGCATGAGCTTGTTTTGAAGCACCTACATGTACATGTACATACAGTATTCCCTCCTGGAGAGTGTTTAACAAAGACTAAGATCAACTTTAAGTTGAACTTAACTATGGCAGGCCTTTCATGCCACTAGTTCCTCTAACCATTCCTGGCATTGGTTTCTCAAGGGACGTACAAATCGTGGTCACAAATCTACAGGGTTTACCTGATTTGATAGTTCATGATTGAAGGGAAAAATAATATCTAAAGATCATAATTGAGATACCAATGGTGAGAGCAACCAGTTGCATGAATGGCCTGCCATATTTAAGTCCAACTTAAAGTCAATCTTAGTCTTTGTGAAACACCCCCGGAACTACATTCTTGTTTGGTCTTGTACAGTGCCATCTGATCAGAAGGTCCCAGAGAACACTCAGCCAAGGTACTTAGAGGATGAAGGTTTCTATGTGGGTGTAAGGCCTGATGTCTCTCAAAGGAACCAGAACATCATGGAGCATCGTCTCCTGCAGAGATCTGACAAGGTAATGATATTATTCTGTTTTTGTTCATAATAATAATAATATTCCACTTTTATATAGCGCCAGATACATCGATACAACGATGTGTCTAAGCGCTTTACAGATATATTATTACCCCGGTCATCGGATTCAGGCTTAAGTTATGGTCACAAATCAGAGCAGCGACCGACCGATCAGTAGCCTGCTCGGTCGCTGCTGGAATTGGGCATCGCCCAGCGATTATGTCGGTGCCCGGGCGGCGACCGCCCTGGCACCGAGCGTATTTTGGGCGGCGAGTGAAAAGTGAGCAGGCGCCGCCCAAATTTTAACTCCGCGCTAAAACTTCAGCGGCGACCGAGCGATGCCCTAAAAACGAGCGGTGCCTGGGCGGTCGCCGCTCGGTGGCCGGGCAGCCGCCGGGCAGAATTGGTTGAAAACTTGCCGCTCGGCCGCCGAGCAGGCTACTTTTGGGTAATGGGACCATAGCATTACCTGCACACAATGTATACTCATTCTCCACTCCCTGGGGAACACTCCAGCCAAGCGTCATTTTACAAGCACACACTTGCTCATTCAACCACATTAACTTTTGCATCCTATCGGGTACCCATTTAACACCTGGGTGGAGAGTGGCAAATGTAGATCAATGTTTTGCCAAAGGACATTAGTGCTGCAGTGGGACTTTGTGATCCACAGTACTAATGGGACCTGTCTACACAGACCACTTTTCTTGTCTCACTTGGATGGTCTTTATAGACAGATTTCCCTGTATAAGTATAGGGTCAATGAAAGTATTTTCTATGTGGCCATGCATCCACAGGGTAAAGGTTGGTTTGGTGAGGATGGGCGTATCGTGGCCCTACCAGACCCCGTGAAGGACACCCCTACCAGACCAAGGGTTATACCAAACGAGGAGAGAGATGCAGAACTACAGACTGTCTTTAGAAAGGTGAGTTCTAGTTTGTGGGAAGGCGATTCTATATGTAGTTTGTGGATAGAAACCATGTCCAGGGCTGTAGACTGCACTAAACAGAAGCGCTGTTCCGTACCATTTTTGTTTTTACTTGGGTAATATTTAACTTTGCAATCGATAGTTGAAATCTCTATACATCAGATTATCAAAGTTCCTGGCCTTGTTTTATAGAGCTTATGATATTTAAAAAATGGTTAATAATTGGTATGAACTACTGAAAACAATGTATTCAATTGGAACCGATAGTTGAAATCTCCATGCATCAGATTATCCAAGTTCCTGGCCTTTTTTTATAGAGCTTATATTTAAAAAAAAACCATTAATAATTGGTATGAACTACTGAAAACACTGTATTCGATTGGCTCTGAGCAAACTTCTCCTATATATTTGTTGAAGTTGTTGTCTGTCATGGGTTTTTTTAATTTTCTGAGCTTCAAACCAAATGATACAATATCCAATACATGTATCACTAGTAGGAGATTAGAGATGCTAGGTTTCAAGATATTCTTTGATTCAATGCACTGGAACCTATCTGATGTGAGGGCCATAATATTGTCCAGAATGTACAGTGTAAGATTTGTCAACATGTTTAGATCTCTTTTCAGGCTTAGTGACTAAAACAACTGCCGTAAATCTCTGTGTATAAGACGCACCCCTATTTTTAAGACCCCCCCCCCAAAAAAAAACAACAAACTTTTCCCTTCAAATTAGGAACGTAAGTTAACTTCAAATAGTAGACCCTATACTTTTTTTGCATTATGTTCTTTATTTTGAGACACAGAGATGGTTGAAAACCACTAAAAAGCAGCATTTTGAGGACTCAAAATAGACAGGTACAGGATATTTTGAGTTCTCAAGACGCACCCCCGACTTTCAAATTTTGCCGGTGGAAAAAAAGTGCGTCTTATTTATGGTGATCCCTTTGAAATATACTGATTCAATTATAAGCGTAACAAGGTACATTGACACTACTTTTTTATACTGTAAATACTCCTCGTCTAAAAATTGTTTTATATTTTCAATCCCCAAGGCCATGATTTCGGACATCACCAGCCAGGGATTGGACTTCCATTCCGGTGTCAGTGACGGTCAGTATCAGATCGACATCGATATAAACACCCTGGTCTTCACCCACCATCCGTACTTCAGTAAGGAGCATGTCCTGGAGTCCAAGCTTCGGCAGCAGTACGATCAGTACCTCAGGCGGAAACAGAAAGATATGGCTCAGTATCTCACTGATAAGGTATTATGGAGATCCCTGTTAGAATGACATTTAAAATTAAGGTGGATGAGACAGAGAGAAAGGGAGGGAGAGAGAGGGAGGGATGGAGGGAGGGAGAGAGAGAGTGTGTGAGAGAGAGAGAGAGAGAGAGAGAGAAAGGATGACAGCAGTACGATCAGTACCTCAGGCGGAAACAGAAAGATATGGCTCAGTATCTCACTGATAAGATATGAATTAAGATCCATGTTAGAGTGACATTTATAATGGAACTAGGGATATTTAAGGTGGAAGAGAGAGAGAGAGAGAGACCCTCTGAGAGACTAGGGGTAATTTCTTGATGGAACTATGGGTTAGCTGTGTGCGAGATTTGTACACCCATTAGTGGTATTTCCACCAAGTCTGGTTTCAGGAAATTATGATCTTCGATCTGCACATGGAAATTGATGACCATCTCCCTTTTAACAATGAATTAGTTTTTATATTTAAACACTACAGTCTATTGAGGAAAATGAGTATGGTAAAACTGGTCACTCAAAGATTTTTTACTTTTTGAGGCACTTCATGATCATTTTGAAGCGCAATTTTTGTAGGGCTTCAATATTATACCATATCACAGACACTAATAACATGTAGGGCCATGCATCTCAGATTTAACATTGTTAAACGATGCCTTTAACAATGGATCATGTCTTGTTTGTATGATAGCTTCAGGCACTGAAGTCAGCAGTGAGCAGCCTCCAAGAACAACTGAGCTCAGTGAACATGCAAGAGACCATTCAGATGGACACAATGCAAAAGGTCAAAGATTATAAGGTGGAAATCAGGTAGGCTCATGACCTTATAATCCACTTGATTCCAATAAGGCCAAATAACAAAAATGAAGTGTTCCCGTCCCCGCCCACCTCTTTTTTGGCTGCTGCTTCCTTTTTTTTTTATACTATTTACTATTCAGGAAAAAAATGTGAAAAAAGCACAAAAAAAGCCCCCCCCCCCCAAAAAAAAGGCCCCTCAAAACCACTAAATAAAGCCTGTGATATACCTTTCGTGTAAATAGCGTGTAAAGTGATACAAATGTTTGTGAATAAATACATGTAGGCTTGGCCAGCTATAATTAGCATGGCAGCCATCTTGGAAAAAAATGCTAAATAGTAGTAATGCCCTGCCTCCTCCTTTAAAAAAAAAGTTTGGATCAGAAACACGTTTTTGTTATTTGGCCTTACTACAGCCCTTTAAAATGGTTATAGTTTCAGGTAAATGTGTGGTATGTTAGAGTGCAGTAGACTGACAGGCCAGTGAAACTGACAGCCCATGAGCCCGACATTTTTCATCCTTCCTAACGCATTTCTTTGTTTATTGGTCTGTCAGGCTTGTGTTTCTTTGGGAACACCAATTGCACTTCTTTCTCATGTTTTTTGTTATTATTACATTTATCATTATTGTCGTGACCTTTCTCCATAGACAAACAAGAAGGTTGAGGGATTATTAGCTGCAGCATGTCCGGCAGCTGACGATAGGAATCATCATCATCATCATTATTGTTCTGTTGATGTTGTTGTTGTCATATTATTACGTTTATCATTGTTGCGGTGACCTCTCTCTGTAGACAAACAAGAAGGTTGAGGGATTATGAGCTACAGCACGACCGACAGCTGACGAAAGGAATCATCACCATCATCATCATTATCATAATCGTCATAATTCTTACGTTATTGATATTATTATTATTATTACATTCATCATTATTGCGTTGACCTCTCTCTGTAGACAAACAAGAAGGTTGAGGGATTACGAGCTACAGCACGACCGACAGCTGACGAAAGGAATCATCATCATCATCATTATTACCATTATCGTTATCATTGTCATAATTCTTACGTTATTGTTATTATTATTATTATTACATTCATCATTATTGCGTTGACCTCTCTCCCTAGACAAACAAGAAGGTTGAGGGATTATGAGCTACAGCACGACCGACAGCTGACGAAAGGAATGCTAAAAACATGGAGAGATATCAAGAAGCTCAGAGAGAAGGATAACTGTATCAATACTGCAGTTAAACTTAGCATCAGAAAGTAAGCATATTGTTCAGTTCAACTAATGTCCATATTTGTATGCGATGACAGCCAAAAGGGCCTTGACTATACATAAAATAATAATAATATTCTGCTTTTATATAGCGCTTAATACATCAATGATGTCTCTTAGCACTTTACAGATATATTATTACCCCAGTTATCGGATTCAGGCTTGCCCGCACACACTGTGTGCACATTCTCCACTCCCTGGGGAGCATTCCAGCCAGGCGTCATTTAAGCGCACACTTGATCATCTAACCACATTAATTTTCGCATCCTACCGTGCACCCACTTAACACCTGGGTGGAGAGTGGCAAATGTAGATTAATGTTTTGCCAAAATGAGTTAATGCCCTTCTTGATATCAGCAGGTGCATTGACATATGGATCATTTTAGGAATAATCTTTGAAAAAAATATATTCTTAGTTTGTATCAGTTTCAGGAACTAGCCGAAAATGGGAAATAATGGCATTATAATGCGATGATGAATATTAGGTTTATCAATTATTTCTGTACAAGTGTTTGCATCCTTAGAACTCCATACACCTTCAAATCTTTATAACTCATAATTTAACACATATTTATTTTAAGTTAAGATAGAAGAGAGAAGAGAAACCATGATGGGGAATATGAAAAGATATAGCAAAATGAAATAGCAAAATGATTTTGAGGGGTTTTGCCATGGAAAATGAATTAATTAAATTGATTTGAATATCTCTGATGTACTTCATCAAACATGATTGATTTTTGATTTTTTTTTTCAGAGAAGAAGCAAACGCACATGAAGACGAGGCTGTTTGGAAGCGTGAGATCGAGGACGAGATCGAGGAGATGAGGCAGAATCATGATGATGATTACCAGATGCAGATGGACAGGTACCGAGCTGCTCTCCAGGAGTGGAAGGACGGCAACAAAGCAAAGGTATGCTTGAGGATGTGGTCTTTGAGAATCTTTAATGTACAGTCGAGTTGGCACTATTGAAGTGAAATGTTTTAAAGTCCCACTGCACTACTTATAGCTCCTTGCTCCCTCTATATAGAAAACAATGCCTAATCGGTGACCATTGGTCCCCCATGATCCTCTTTTTCTTTTGTTAATTGAGAGCTGAGTTGATGAGATAGCCACCTGGCAGTGATCTTCCTGGGTGGTCTAATCCATCCTAGCCAAACTAGTACAGACATCCTTTAAAGGGATTGGGTATCTTTGCCTCAGATTCAACAAAAAATCCTGGATTGAGCTCATGCTGCAATCACAGTGATACACCTTTAGGTCAATCAGGAATCCCATGACTTGTACAAGCCTATCGCCTGTCTGATTATCAAGATATTTATGATTGGAAATCTCCAGGAGTGGAAGGACGGCAACAAATCAAAGGTATGCTTGAGGATGTGGTCTTTGACACTCTTGGAATCCTTAATGTACAGTTGAGTTGGCATTTCTGAAATGGGATGTTTTAAAGCCTCACTGCACTACTTATAGCTACTTGCGCCCTCTATATAGAAAACAATGCCTAATCAGTGACCATTGGCCCCCATGATCCTCTTTTTCTTTTGTTAATTGAGAGCTGAGTTGATGAGATAGCCACCTGTCATTGACCTTGCTGTGTAGTCTAATCCCTTCTGGTCAAACTAGTACAGATGAGCTTTAAAGGGATTGGGTATCTTTGTCTCAGATTCTAAAAACAATCCTGGATTTAGCTCATGCTGCAATCACAATGATAAACTTTTAGGTCAATCAGGAACCCCAAGACACTGATAAGACTTGTACACCCATTAGTGGTATTTCCACCAGGTCTGGTTTCAGTATATTACCTCCATATGACCTTCTGCACACGGAAATTGATGACCATCTCCCTTTTAATGGATTGGGTATCTTTGTCACAGATGCTGTAATCACAATGATAAACCTTTAGGTCAATCAGGAATCCCATGACTTTTACAACCTGATCGCCTGTCTGATTATCAAGATATTTATGATTGGAAATCAAAATTTTATTTTCATTTTCGTTTTATAACACTAGTCTGTTGGGGGAAATGGTAAAACCGGTCACTCAAAGATTTTTACTTTTTTGAGGCACTTCATGATCATTTTGAAGCACAACTTTTTGAGGGCTTTAATATTACACCATGTCACAGACACTGATAACACGTTGGGCCATGCATCTCAGGTTTAACTTTGTTAAATGATGCCTTTAATGTACAATGGAGTTGGCATAACTGAAGTGGAATGTGAAAATAAAATAATTGTTCAAATACACCCTCTATTTCTTTATTAAATGTAGAAAAAGGGAAAGAAGAAAAAGAAGAAGAGCGGCTCTCAGGAGAATCTGACAGAGACGGGAGAGGAAGATGAAGGTGAAGGGTCAGAGGTCGAGAAACCAAAGCCGATCAAACCGTCAGCGAAGTTTGATGAGGAAGAGGCGAGGGAGCGTATCAGAGAGAAGATAGCACTAATTAGACGTAAACCAGGTAATGTGATTGTGATGGTGGTGGTGGTGGTGGTGGTGGTGATGATGATGATGATGATGATGATGATGATGATGATGATGATGATGATGATTAAGGTGATGATGGTGGTGGTGGTGGTGGGGGTGGTGGTGATAATAATGATGACGATGGTGATGATGGTGATGATGGTGGTGGTGGTGGTGGTGGTGATGATGATGATAATGATGACGATGATGATGATGGTGATCATGATGGTGGTGATGGTAATAATGATAATGATGACGATGATGACGATGATGATGATGGTGATGATGATGGTGGTGATGATGATAATGATGACGATGATGATGGTGATGATGATAGTGATGATGGTGGTGGTGGTGGTGGTGGTGGTGATGATGATGATGATGATGACGACGACGGCGGCGGCGGCGGTGATGGTGGTGGTGGTGGTGGTGGTGGTTTACCCGATTGGCCCCGAGTAAGGCCATGGAAAAGACACGTAGTCTCGTCATGCTACACCCCCTTTAAACTGGAATGCACTTCTTCCTTTGTGTGTCATCAGGAGAAACCATCCTTCACCTTGAGCTGAGCAACACGGCTGTCATCACTCCCACACCAGACTGCAGTAGACAAGAACAGCAGAGACGCAACGAGATGCAGAGATACCGCTGCTTCATCAAAGTCCTCATCAACGAGAAAGAAGTCTCCAGAACTGCTACAAAGTAAGACTAATTAAAAGATGTTTAGTAAGACTAATTAAATGATGTTAAGTAAGACTAATTAAAGGCTACAGACAGTCATCTTTGTCTATTATAGGGCAAGATTTTTTTGCGTTAACAAATTATTGGGAAAATGTAGAGGGGGGGGGGGGGCGGGCTTCTAAAAAGGCACTAGCGCATCAACTTGTTTTCGAACCTGGGACCTACCGGTTACGAGAGCACTGCTCTACCACTGAGCCATTGTGTCTCCTCAATCACACAAGATACATGAATGATATATTTCATTTCTTTCCTTTGCTTATAGATCTATGACTTCGGATTTCACCATGCACTTTGGTAACATCTTCAATGTTCAGATTGTACACTGGCCTGAGAGTATCGTGATTCAGGTAGGCCCTCCTGATACATGTTTTGATTGTGTAAATTCTGTTACTCCTGCTTAAGAGGTGTCCTGGGGAGTGTTTCACAAAGATTAAGATCAACTTTAAGATGGACTTAACTATGGCAGGCCGTTCATGCCACTAGTTCCTCTAACCATTCCTGGCATTGGTTTGTCAAGGGACGTACAAATCATGGTCACAAATCTACAGAATTTATATTTTTTGATAGTTCATTATTGAAGGAAAAAATATTATCTAAAGATCATAATTGAAAGACCAATGGTGAGAGCAACCAGTGGCATGAATAACCTGCCATAGTTAAGTGCAACTTAAAGTCGATCTTAGTCTTTGTGAAACACTCCCCTGGTCTAGTGGAATACGTCACCAGACTTGAGGGTGGATCACATGGTTTGCGATTCGATTGTAACTAATCATTAACGTTTTTAAATTGGCAATGCGAAGTAAAAATAAGATCATTATTTTTCTTGTACAAACAGTTTTTTTCCAGTTAGATTTTGCAATTATCTTTCACATTGCTTCCTTCAATAAACATTTTTTCCTTCAAACTATGAAGGAAAGGAAAGGAAGATTTAATTTTTGCCAATTTCAGGAGGGAAATCTGATTATTTTAGAAAATTAGACAACACTGCACTGCTATAAAATAATGCTCTATGTATTTATTCTGTTTTGCTTTCCTTGATCCTCACAGTTGTTTGAGACTGGAGTTCTGAGTAGCAACCATCTTGCAAACGTCTATCTGAACGCCCCCAGCACACAGATGACCTCTGATAAAGTTCATGTTGACCAGTTTGAGTTCAGTAGTGACCAGAAAGTGGAATTTGACCACAGTGCAGTGGGCAGTGGTGAGTGACCAACATGATCGCAAATACTTTAAAGGGATTGGGTAAGTTTGTCTCCGATTCTGAAACAAAATTCTGGATTTAGCTCATGCTGCAATGATAATGATAAACCTTTAGGTCAGTCAGTCAAATCCCATGACTAATTGACAAGCCGATCGCCTGTCTGATTATCAAGATATTTATGATTGAAAATCGAAATCAAATTTTGCGTTTTCCTAACGGTTTTCATTTCACGACAGTCTATTGGGAAAAACGGGTATGGTAAAACCGGTCACTCAAAGATTTTTACTTTTTTGAGGCACAATTTTTTTGATAGGGCTTCTATATTACACCATATCACAGACACTGATAACATGTAGGGCCATGCATCTCAGATTTAACATTGTTAAACGATGCCTTTAAAAAAAATTGATTGGAAGGGCAACTCACATCTTGGGAGATATGAGTTGGTCTAGCAGTCATTCCCTGCTGTGTCTTCATATACAACTGACTTGGAAGAACCCGATTCGAAACTGAGTCACGTCTTTCAGATGGTTAGAAAGTCAAATGTAGGTAGAATGCATTGGCTATGAACATCAGAACTTGGCAAAGATCCAGATCTTAAGCTTTTATTAAAAAACAAGAAAGTTGTTTGAGCAAAAAGGTCTGAAACTTCATAAAGTGAAACTTTAACAAAGTTTATGAAAGTTTCATTCATTAATCACAACTCTGAAATTTTACAACTTCAGAAAGTTTCTTTAGATATATTCATGATTTACGATTGTTTCTGTCCCCTAGGTCTCTAGTTTTCCAGTCGTTAAAAGTCAACTGATCACCGTTATGTTTATTTTGCTGCCTATTTGCTGCAATGACTTGACATGACTTGACTTGAATTGATTTATTTCTTTATTCCATAAAAAGAAATAACAAACTATATAAATGATATACATGTACATAGTAAAAGAAAGTAGTCAATACATAAATGACATAATAGACATAAGAAAACAAAAGATCAATATCAACAAAATCAGAAATACTGAATAAGATTTAGACTACAAACATATTCATATCAATGTGGGGGATATTATACAAAGTCTTGAACTTCTATCATAAGTCCATGTCTCAAAACTCTCCTCTTTGACCATGATCATCAATATTCTTTGATAATTTCTATTTAAAGGGCTTTGAAACAACAGTTAGTTTGTAAGAGCGCTATAGAAATGACTTGTTATTGTATTATTATTGAAACAAAAATGTATAATTCTTTCCAATTTATACCGACTGCAGGGATCACATTCTCTATCGGTGATGAAGATGGTGCACAGAGTTTAAACCTGTTGACATCAGGTAGCTTGTATGCCAGCGTAGCTTGGGGTTTAGCCGACGATGGCTTGCCCCTCATACCGCCAGCCATACCGTCAAACACCTATGCCCTGAGGTGAGTAGTGTGAAGCAATTTAATGATGATTATAATCGGTCAATTTATATAACGCAGCTACGATATGATTATACTCTACTGCGTTTAATGCAAAGTATCATATTACAGTCAACCTGTCTATAGTGACCACCCAAGGGAAACACAAAAAGTAGACTTTGTAATAAGGTTGCTTTAGTACATGTTTCAATGAGAAACCATTTTCAGGGAAACAACAAATGTCTTTGAAGACAGGTGGTCACTAAAGCAAGTTTGATAAGGCGCTAAAGCATTCAAGGAATTCTTTCATACCAAGTACCTATTTACTTCACCTGGATGGAGAGTGGCAAATGTAGATTAATGTCTTGCCAAAGGAAATTGGAGCCTTGGCAGGACTCAAAATTACCATGACCCATGTGATCTATGTACAGTCTGGTGATGTATCGACAATAAAATGACACCTCTACAGAAAGAAGCAGGGAAAAACGTGAGGTAACCAGGAAGAAAGACTAAGATTGACTTTAAGTTGGACTTAACTATGGCAGGCCATTAATGCCACTGGCTGCTCTCACCATTATGATCTTTAGATAACATTTTTTCCTTCAATAATGAACTATCAACAAATGTACATTCTGTAGATTTGTGACCACGAACCATATGTCCCTTTATTCAGAGACCAATGCCAGTATCAAAATGGTAAGAGCTAACAGTGGCATGAACAGCCTGCCATAGTTAAGCCCAACTGAAAGATAAGTCCGACTTAGGATCTTTGTGAAACACCCCCCTGGTCATACATTCTATTAAAAGCTCCTCCATGGGAACAAAGATGTTGCCATACCCGTTTGTATATAAGTATATTGATATACACTGTAGTCTCACCTCCACTCCAACTTTTTCACGTTACCAGCTCCATGAAGGGGGTGGATGCCTTGGCGGCCATCGGTGCGACCGGTATCATCGATGATAAGAAGCTGGCTAAGTGGCTGATGGAAGCGAGACTAGACCCCAACGATCCTGCCAACTCCTTCCTGCTACAGATGATCAAGGTGAGAAGAGAATGTGGCACCTTTGGCACCGTGGGGATGACCTCTTTTTATGGGTTAATTTAAAGGGAGATTGTAGTCGAGTGTCCATGTGCAGAAGGTCATAATTACATGTAGCTGACACCAGAATTTGATGTTGAACTAAAAACGCAAGCTAAAACTAGAAAATCACACTATTCCTTCTCCATGCACCATCCCCACTTCAGAATGACCGAAACAAGATTGAGACGAAGGACTACTTCCGGCTGGAGCAGCTTCAGGAGTAGTTTAACTTTGTGATGGACAAATTAAGACAAATTGAGTGAAATTGAATTTGAATTTGAATTGAATTTGAATTGAATCTCACACTCAAAACTCAAATCAAACTAGAAACTAACACCATTCCTCCACCATGCCCAATCCCCACTTCAGAATGACCGAAACAAGATTGAGACCAAGGACTACTTCCGCTTGGAGCAGCTCCAGCAGGAGTTTGACTTTGTGCCGGACAAATTGAGTGACATTGGATTTGAATTTGAATTTGATCTCAAACTCAAACTCAAACTCAAACTCAAAATCACACTCAAACTCAAACTCATAAACTAGAAACTTACACCATTCCTTCTCCATCCCCCATCCCCACTTCAGAATGACCGGAACAAGATTGAGACGAAGGACTACTTCCGGCTGGAGCAGCTCCAGCAGGAGTTTGACTTTGTGACGGACGAGGAGCTGGAGACCAACCGTAGGTTCAAGCTCCTCCAGCTTCGAGAGAAGGAGGTGGAGGAGTTCAGAAACTACAAGATGGTGCCTGCCATCGAGAAGGAGATTGCCGAGACCTTCTTTGAGGTGAGATAGTAAAAAAAAAAAAGTTTGGTAATTTAATATATTTTATTTAGACAAATTTAAATTAATAAAGAGGGGATAATAGGTGGTCAATTTAAAAACCAAAAACATCTTTAATGTAAATAATTAACTAATATAATTTCAATTCATTAAAAAAAGAATGAACAAATTGTAAATCGCCAAAAGTGTCATTCCAAACCTAAAATTTGATTCCCCTTTTTATTTCTTATTATCCCTTCAGAGAGTCATAACAATTTGTTTTTCCTTTACTTTTTTCTATTTTATTTTCTCTTTATTATTATTATTAATTTTTTTTTTGCAGGGAAAATAGTGAAAAAATAGAAAAGATTAATTCCATAAAATGTACTGTCTAAAAAGACTTATGTTTGGTTGGGATATATTTGCAATGTTAAGACCTTAGAATAACTATATTTCTTGTACAAAATTGATAAAAGAAATTAAAAAAATGATGGGTGGGAAAAATGAATTGATCTGTATTGTGATTTGTATATTGCAGGAGTATGAAATGAAGCTGAAGAAAGAGGAGGATGGGTTGGTTGATGAAGACATGGATGCAAGGAGAGCTCAGGTCGCAAAGTTCATAGCACAGGTTGGTCCTTGAAACGCTTACTTTAATACACTCCTGTACACCAAATATTTTTGCAAATCCTACGGCCCAAATTCATAAATTTGCAAAAATTTTGTGTGATGATTCTACCTTCTGTCATGACACAAACAAACTAGAAAGCTTTAAGTCAGGTCTAAAAACCCATCTTTTCAACCAAATGATTAATCAATGACTAGTACTGGAGGAGCGGGCGCCTTTGAAAATTTGAGACAGATAAATGGCGCCATGCAAGTGCTGTGGATCTCATCACGATGATCATGACGTGAATCTGCTATATATCTTGAAAGCAGCTATTGTTAACATTTTGCAAATATTTGATGTCCTGAAAGTTATTGTTTTTAAAATTCTACTTTCCTTTTACTGACTGTTAATTGTGCTGAGATGCATAATAATTTGCTGTTTTGTAGCAATTTCTTTTTTTTGGTGATAAACAATGCACACACTAATATGGTTTGCACTGCTTCAAAACACCTGAAAAAAAAAGATGTAAATCAGTTACAAAAACTGCCTGCCACTGCTCTGCCAAACACTTTGGAATCTCAAGAACATTTAGAAAATGGATTAACAAAGAAGAAAAAGATAAAAATATCAGCTAGTGTAGAAGCCCACTGACACTGTACATTTTTAGTGCAGCAAAAATATATGATTCATAGTGTTTTTATGTAGAATGACTTGAGTTGAAATTACTGCAGCATTCTCTCACTGAAATATTAGCAATCCAAAGGTGCAATAATGGCAGTATAAGAAACATATAAAGGTTTCTCCTTTAATACATGTAGTCCAGTGCAAATTTAACACATGAATTATTCATACCCCTTGTCAATTTGATATTTGTTGTGTTGTTTTAATCAAGAATTAATGGTGAACTGGTTGAATTGGGGCCTTTGTTGAATAATTTTAGAGTTAAGCTTTAATATGTCTCATTCTCAAAAAAGATGAATTGGAACAAAACAGTTTTGTCACATTCTTAACAAAATTACGAAACTTGGTAATGGTATGAATAATTTAATTGGTAACTGTATATAGTTTACCAACCAATAGTTTCTCTTCCTGTATATGTAAATTATTGTATGAAATGTATGAAATGTATTGCTGTTGGTAAATCAAATCAAAAATCAAATCTGTCCCTATTTTCACGAAGTGACGGTAGTGAGGAAAATCGTAACGCAAAGTGAATGCAATTTTGTTTCACTACCGTCACCTCGTGAAAACAGCGACGATATGTAGGTACATCTGTAGTTGTACTTTACCTGACATGGGATTTTCACCAAGATTCAAGTGTTTTGATTGTTGTTTATTTTGACACTGTCAGATTCGTAAGCGAGTGATTCAGAGGTACCGAGCTGCTCAGCATCGTTACACACTCCAGGACATTGTCAATGAAAGCTTGGTACCTGATGTGAGGTGAGAAAACACACTCTTTCTCTATCTCTCTCTTTCTCTCTCCCTCTTTTTTTTCTCTTTCTCTCGCTCTATTTCTCTCTCTCAATTTTTCTCTTTCTCTTTCTCTCTCTCTCTCTCTCTTTCTTTCTCTCTTTCTATCTCTTTCTCTCTCCCTCTTTCTCTCTCTCTCTTTCTCTCTCTCTATTTCTCTCTTTCTATCTCTTTTTTTATCTCTTTCTCTCTCTCACTCTTTCACTCTTTCTCTCTCTCACTCTTTCACTCTTTCTCTCTATCCCTCTCTTCTTTCTCTCTCTCTCCCCTCTCTCTTCTTTCTCTCTCTTTTTCACTCTCCCACTCTCTCCCTTCATCTTTCTTCTCTTTTTAGTTATAAAATGTTTGATTGTTGTTTAGCACTCATATCAATCACACATGGTGTCCCAACAACAACCTAAATGACTAGACCACTGTTTCTGGTGCTGACAGTGTTCAAGGAATGTCTTCTTACAAGGTACTAATTTTTCTCTACCTGGGTAGAGATTGAGAAGCAAATAAAGACTGATATGTTGTCAAAGGATATTAGTGCTGTGCTGATGGCTTGAACTTATCCACCGCACAAGGTCTCCCTCTTGCTCACTCTCCCTTTCTTTCCCCCTTCCTCCTCTATCTGTCATATCTCTCACCCCTCTCCCTCTCCCACATTCTCCTCTGTATCTTTTATTCTCTTATTTGTATTAATAATTATTTGTAAGGAACATGTCAGACAAGTAATTCTAGTCAAAGGGTAAATACATCATCAGTGTTGCAAAATCTTAATAATTTTTTCCTTTTTCTTCTCTATTTGTATTCAGTCTACTTGGAGACACCTTAGCGAAGCTGGTAGAGCCACGTCGCCCTCTCAAGCCTCAGCGTAAAGAGCGTAAGACTGTCACTGCGCAAAACCTCACCGCCCAGTCGGTCAATCTCCTCATCAACATTGAAAGAGCGTTTGAAATCCCAACAAGGAAACCAGATCCTAAGTAAGTAGTTGTTCAAATTGTGGTGGTGGTAGTTATTTTACCTGACTGCTAAGAAACCATAAATGCTTGTAAGTAAGCAACCATATGGCTGACGGCTTTAGGTCCTCTCTGAGGGACCTGGTTATGAGGATTAATGCATTACCAAAGGGCACTAGCGCATCGCCTTGGTTTCGAACCCGGGTCACCGGATTACAAGACCACTGCTCTACCAACTGAGCTATCGCGCCTCCTTTATGAAAAAAAGATTCTATAATAATAATACGCTAAGGCTCCGCGGGGGGCGCGACGTCTCCGCGAGCCTTTGTATTCTATTGTTTTTTAATGAGATCGCCGACCGAAGTTGGTGCGGCTATCTCCTCCTGAACCCTCCCCTCGGGGTACCCGTGCCCGGTGCCATCGTCCGCGGGAGAGTCTACTCTGTGGAATTGGCTATACTCCGCCCGAGGTCCTCCTCCGTGTCGACGTCCAGGGCGAAAACAGACGCGATATGCATAATGCAGGATATGCGTGACGACAGAGATACCTCATGGATATTCAACATAACATCCGTAGACACACGACCGATGACCATCCACTCACATTAAGTTGCGTATTAAATGCACTATGCACAGGGTCGGGCTTACCCGAGTAAAGCATCTTTCTATAGGGTATCCTTTGTAGTAGCTGCACAAGCCACAGAGATACACACGAATTAAGCTTCCCGTCCACGTCCAAACTTAGAGACCTATTTCCATCATTATTGCCGCGATTTGTATATAGTTTTCGTGAATGGAGGTATGAAATCAAAGCTTATTTTGTGATTATTACGGCAATGTATACTAAAATTTGATTATCATTTTCTAAAGGAAAGTTTTCACAAGAAAACCATTGGACTGACAATTCAGTCGCAAGCTGCCTTCAGTCAACACAAAGTGCAGTGCTGATGTGTAGTGTGTGTGAGTTGCGATGAGCTTGCAGGAAGCTCCAACACTGGCACCGCGCACCGTAGGCGTCCGACGCCTGCGGCGCCGGTGTTGAGCTTCCTGGAGTTACGCTGCAGTGTGTGTGAGTTCACCTAAGCTTGAGTCGAAGAGATTTGACACGTTGAAATTTTTATCTGTTGGTTTGCATCATTATTGCCGCGATTTCAATATAGTTTCGTGAATAGATTTACAAAACCTGAGCTTAGAATTAGTAAAAGTATTACTAATGTCTACGTTTTTAAACGACTGTCTGATTTTCTTGTGAAAATTTTACTTTGAAAAATGATTATCGAAATTAATGGTCAGAAATAATCACAATCTAGGGTCTATTATGTTACAGTTCTTGCATCAAATCAATGCATGAAAACTTAGTTATTGAACTAGAAAAATGTTTTTTTTTTTAAACAGGCAATTATGAAGCAGGAAGCCTGAAACCTTAGCCTACTAAACAAATCTCAACAAAGTGTAGGCCTATCCTTTTATGAATTAATGAAAAAGTAGCCCCAGAAAAAAGAGCCCCCGAAAGTTGAAAAAGTAGCCCCCGAAAATTTCCCAAAAATTTGAAATGGAGCCCCCGAAATGAAAAACTTAATTTTTTGCCTGCGCCCCCTTCTAGAATCCCACGGATTTCCACGGGTCCTGAGTTGCGTGTATATATAATATAGGCGTGGGGTCCACGGGTTTCAAGGGGCCATAAACCCCCGAAAGCTCGGGGGTTTTAGGCGAAAGGGGTACGCAAGGTGAACGAAAACAATTCAACATGTTTAATTTTTTTTGCGTACTTTCGGCGTAGAAACTTGACGCAGAAATTACGCCTTTTTACGCAGAAAGTCCGCCTTTTTACGCAACAGTACGCTACCCTACGCCAGATCGACTAAGCAGTAAAAGCTTTCCACACAGTAAGCAACCATAAGCAAACCTGTACGCCAGCCTACGCATAACCTACGCAGGGACTATTTTCCCATTAATACGCAGCCTAATTTCTGCGTAGTCGGTACGCCACACTACGGAAATGTACGCAGTTCCAGTGGCTTAAAGAATAACTACCGGTACAGTTGGATTGTTTTTTTAAATTTAATATAAGGCCAAATTAAAAAAAAAACATGCTTATAGCGTCCTGTTTTTTTGAAAAATGGGAAGGAGGAGGCGCTTTTTTTTTTTTTTTTTCTTTCAAAATGGCCGCTCCGTACATTTTCCCTGGCATTCGGGCTATTTTTCAAGATGGCGGCCGACAATTTTTTTTTTTTCTTTTTTAAAATCAGAAATACTTTTTAGCAGTGCTTTTCATGTTTTTTTTCTTTAAAAAAAAAAAAAAAAAAAAAAAAAAAAAAAAAAAAAAATAGGAGGTGGCCCCCAAAAAGGAAGCAGGCGGGGACAATGTTTTTTTTCTTTCAAAAAAAAAAAAAATAAATAAAAAAAATAGGAGGCGGCCCCTAAAAAGGAAGCGGGCGGGGACGCTAAACATGTATATTTTTTAATGGCCTGAATGGCAAATAACGTTCTTGGTGGTTTTAATTTAGACATTCTCTATATATCTATTTACACCCCCGCCCCCTCTAGAATCCCGCGGATTTCCGCGGGTCCTGCTAGTCACCTTTATATTCTAGTTTCCAAGAAAAATTATTTTTAGGGTTGGAATTCAAAAGTACAGGTTGGTCATTTGGTGCAGCTCAATGTGCATTTGACCTGTATTTTTGGTCGTTCACAGGAAGAAAGTTTGTTACCCCTGATCATCACCATTTGAGCCATAGAATACTAAATCGAACATCTCTGACAATCAACTTGTATTTACCATGTTAAGAAACATGTCAACAAATGACTTGTTGAGGTCAGCACTTAATGCAAAAGATTGTTAATTGCAAATGTATGGTCTGAGATATACATATTCATGAAGGTATCATCCAATCAAATTACTAATACATGTATCATTAAACTTGTAATGTTGATAAACAAAAATCGATTGATGCAATGTACATAAAATCTTAAATAATACATATTTTCATTGAACTTCACAGGCAGTCTGGTCAACATGCAGAGGTGAGTATCATTTTTTAAAAACAATATTTGAAGATGTTAAGACACTTTGGTCTTTGGAATTGGAAGACATTGTTAATTGGAAAATTATGAGCACATTTACAAGGGCTATATATAAAACCAAATTGTGTTACTACATGTATAATACTATTACATCATGTTGTATTCATTGCAGTTATAATTGTTACAACCAGGGCCCCGTCGTATTAAGAGTTGATGTTAATCGCACATAAGAGAAAGGAGACTGCAAACTTGCGATTAATTTAGATCAATCGCAACTCTTTTTAAGACGGGGGCCCTGATTGTCATTTCAAAAGAAAAAACAACTCCTGCAACATATAAAGACTATGTTTAGATATTTAGTGCAGTTACATATTGTACTGAATCTGAAATCTTTGACTTAAAATCTAAAATCTTCCAAGTTAGCATCATCGAGTAATGTGTTTGTCTTTCAGGTGCGTCCATTCGTTGAGGTTGTATTCCAACAGACGACTAAACAGACGTGTGTCGCTGAGGGCGCCAATCCAAACTGGAACGAGGAACTAGCTCTGCCATTCAAGTAAGTTGTAAAAAAAAAAAATATGTCCATGTATTGTTGAAAGAATGGAGATACAGTCAAACCTGTCTATAGCGACTGTCCAAGGGAAACCAAAAAAAGTGGCCTTTGTAGACAGGTGGTCACTAAAGCAGGTATGACTGTACATGTATCTGTTGTACATGGTACATGTAATTAGGCTAACAGGTCAAGGTTATGTACACGCATTTGGAAAAGTTTTTTTTTGTGGTCTCTTTTACATTTACATGTAGATAAAGCCCCCTTTGTGGATAGATTGATATCATTAGATCCTAAAAAAGTAGTTTAATTGTATCACCAGAAGAATCCAGGTAGACTAGTTTATTTTTCCATAAAATTTGTATATCATGTATGGTGTTTATATACTGAAATTTGATATACATATGTTGTAATTAAAGGATTTCATGTTAAAGCCATGTTTTTACTCTTTTCATCGGATTCACGCTTGTTAGTGCACAATGTTTTAACATTCTCCACTCCCTGCTTAATGCTGACCAAACTATAGTGACATTTGTATCTAAATGGATACCCAACTAACTCATGGGTAGAGAGAAGCTGTGTAGATTAAATGCCTTGCTTAAAGACCCTGTCGGAAATGCAAAATGAAATAGATGAATGATATATCAACGAAAAGCTTAAAAGCCATATTATATGATAATATCAATTATATGCTATTTTAATGCCTGTCAGAGGACTAATGGCTCTCTGAAAACCTGAAATCTAAAGCGTTGAAATTTGAAAATGTGAAAATTGGAAGTTATCTACCTAAAAACTAGCTGTCGAATTGATGACATCATCTTGTGTGGATAACACATATCTACAATGAATTTGCAGCTCTATGCTGGGAATCAAACTCAAGGCTTTCCTATCTCCTGTCAAGTTGAACACCTCTGCATACCATTCAACTTATAAAGCCGCTCTGCACTACTTGTAGCTACTTGCTCCCTCTATATAGCCAACAATGCCTCAGCGATACCCGTTGATCCCCCACGGTTGCCTTTTTCTTTGGTTAATTGAGAGCTGATTTGATGAGATAACCACCTGTCAGTGACCATGCAGGGAGGTCTAATCCCTCCTGGGGCCCGTTGCATTAAACTTACCATTGATAGTAATTTTGCCATCAATGGCAACTACCATGGAAACAGGGCTCAACAGCCAATCATAATCAAGGTTTCCATGGTAGTTACCATCAATGGTAAGTTTTATGCAAGGGGGCACTGGCCAAACTAGTGCAGATAGGCTTTAAACACCTCTACATTTCTAACTTCTAAAAACTCCCTCATCCTCAACAGGGCTCCCAATAATGACTACTCCGCCAGCAATCTGCAAACGGTTAAAGATGAGATCTACATGAACCTGTTTGATGAGACGGTGATTGATCTGCTCCAAGACGACCGTGACAGGACGACCAACATCCACCAGAGGCTGGAGAAGAGATGGCTGGGAAGTCTCAGTATACCCTTCTCAACGATCTACTTCCAGGGAAAGGTGAGGATGACCAATGGTATAATGGACGTCACTTATAATAATAGTCTGGATTTATAGAGCACTTGATACAAATACTGTCTCTAAGCAATATTACGCCATCTGATTGGTCGAAATTAGAGTCGTGATTGTAGCCATTCCTGTAAAGAAATGAAAAATGCCAAAACTGGTTAATAGTCCAGAGTGAGATCCCTCAAAATTCTGGTTACCGTGCAAATAGTTAAATTTTGCTGCGATACCCAATGGTTTACATGTTAAAATTTTCTTTGAGCGAGTGCAGACACCATACAGTGCTTTATGTCTGCGATTCCCAACTGATCGAAAATTTCAGTCAATTTTCCAGCAAAGATAAACAGACAGTTTCTCAAATTATCTGTGATGTTTTAACCAATCTTTTCTCAATAAAAACGATAAAGTAAGAATTCTTGGTAGATATTTGTTTGAATTCGGCATATAAAAGACATATCAACTGCTTTAATATTCAAGGTCTGTTTTTCTGTTATCAGGTGGCAGGTGCTATTCGAGTGGAAGCCCCCTCCTCTCTGCTGGGGTACGAGAGGACCAGAGAGAGTGCTGGGAGGGGGGCAGCCAATGCTACATACCTCTCCGTCTTCATCACTGTTGAGCCTCCTCTTGCCCCTCCAGAACTATTGAAGGAAAAGGTCAGTTTTTCAATTGAAGAATAATTTTCGTAGTAATGCATGTACCTCTTGCCTGCTAAAACTCTTTAGGGAAAGGGCGAGGGTGTCCTGTCAGTGCCATTCCAAAATATGTATCCCTTGATCGTCAGGTAAACTTGAATACAGTCATTTTCAATAATTTTCTCCCATTAAAGGGGAAGTCCAGCCTGATACTAAGTTATTTTTAATAAAAGCATAAAAATGAGAGAAACAAATTAGTGAAAGTGTTATAGGAAAGTTATGAATTTATGAAGTTGTGATCAGTGAAACACAAATTAGTAACTCTGCAATGTATCTTACAACCCCCTTTCGAATTTGCTCTGTACAACAAATTTAACTTTCCCTCGTTAATTCTTTTTTTAGTTTGAGACCCTGGAGGATGACGAACTGTTGAACCAAGCTGAGCTTCTCCAGGCCCACGTCTCGGCAAAGTTCCCCACACGTCAGATCACGCCCACAGTGATTGACATGAATGGCAGCTCCGTCTTTGTCACCAGGTACTTCAGGGCCCTGGCGCCGCCGCCCGTCTTGATTGAAGGGAGTGACCAGACTCAGATTTGTGTGAGTTTTTCAGACTCTTTATGGATTATTGACTGGAAAAACTTAGTGACTGAATGGATTGAAGTTTAAACTAAAGAGGAGACTGTGTTAACAAATTTGGAGTGATTGAAACAGAAGAGAGAGAGAGAGAGAGATTAGGAAAAGAGAGGGAGAAAAGGAGGAGGAGGAGGAGGAGGAGGAACTTCTATCTTCAGTGAAAGTGCGTTGCACTGTGTAGATAGTAGCCTATCTACACAGTGTAACAAACTTTTGGCTTCTCCCAGCAATGATGGGCGAACTATCTTTCATCACATGATTTACTTTTGACCAATCGTAGAACAAGATTCTTAGTATGTGGAATATATATAGAGACTATTTATTAAGCGCATAATGAATTGAAAATTTCTCTATGCGCTTTACAATTATGACCATACATCTATCTCTTTGTTTTCTTATAGGAGAGGATAGCTCGTTTTGTATCTCTCATCCCGTTTATCTCGGACAGTGTCTTGTTCATACATCTATCTCTTTGTTTTCTTATAGGAGAGGATAGCTCGGTTTGTATCTCTCATCCCGTCCATCTCCGACAGTGTCCTGTTCCCAGGAGTCTGTAACATCTGGAGTACATGTCAGGTGAGTTGTAGAGTCAACGCACAAAATAGCTTTGCATTGGTCTAGCCATTGAAGCCTGCTGCACTCTATGACCCCTATGCCTTCCTGTAGCTGCACCACTGAAATCCTGTGTTTGTAACTTTGTACTAAACTGGTTTAAGTAGCAGTCTCAAAAGCCATTAAACTACCTTTTACATAAAGGCCCACTGCACTGCTTGTAGCTACTTGCGCCCTCTATACATGTACAGCCAACAATGCGTAAGCGGTACCCATTGATCCCTCATGATGCTCTTTTTCTTATGTTAATTGAGAGCTGATTTGATGAGATAACCACCGGTCAGTGACCTTGCACGGAGGTCTCATCCCTCCTGTACACTAGTACAGATGGGCTTTGATGTAAAAAATTAATCAGCCATGCTATCTGATTTATTTGATTCCGTGCAAGATAATGAACAAGTTGTTAAAAAAGTCAGAATTGCATCTATTCAAACTAGTGCCAAACTAGTGCAGAGGGGATTTAAATTGCTATTGTCACATATTTAAAGATAAAGTTGAATTCTGGTCATGCGATTGCATTGTGAAAGAAACGGTGTAAAAAGCAATCAGAAAAGGTTGATCATTTAGCATATAAGTATTGGTATGTACTGCAAGGTTCTGGAATAATCAAAATGATAAGAAATTTAGCCCAGTCTTGGTAAAGTTACAAGAGCTGTACACAGGAATATGTATATGGGACTACACGCACATGTGGCATAAAAATCTGTCCCGATTTTTATGCTGTTACATGCCATATTTAGAATATTAAGGCATTTGAAGAGCCATGCTTTTCAGGGAACATTTTAATTTGATGTTCTTCCACACTTGCATAATGCTCACAAACTATTTTGACCTCTTCCCAGAACTCAACCTTCTCTTTAAGTAGTAGTCTCAAAAGCCATTTATCTACCTGTTACTTATATGTAGGTTCCTATTGTCACATATTTAATTGATAATTACCCTGTAAGGCAAAAAAAAAAAAATCACAACTCCTATTCCTGGTGTTTGTTTGTGTAACAGCAATTCATGCAGATGTTGCAGGGAGACGAGGAAGAGCATGCCGTGCTCCTGGTCAAAAGAAGACGAAGAGAGAGAGAGAGAGAGAGAGAGAAATAATATATAAAGCTGAGAGAATAATTTTAGTGAATAGATTGTAATGATCTCCTTGTGTATGAACCATAAATAATAATGACTAACTTTATTTATATGAATCTTGTTACCATGACAGCAATTCATGCAGATGTTGCAGGGTGATGAGGAGGAGCATGCCGTCCTCCTGGTCAACTACTTCCTCCATCTCAACAAACGGGCGTGGCTGATCCTGGGGAGGGCGATCCCCGAGGGCCCCACTGCCTACGCCCTCTCGGAGGAAGGGGACGGCCAGTACTGGATATGGAACCCTTCCACCGGCGAGCATTACAAGGCTACTGATAGCTTCTGCCCTCTCAAGGCTGTCGACTGCCTCATCAATCAAGACAATGTAAGCTTACACTTTTTCTACAGTCATGGACCTTATGTGATATATACATGTACATGGATGTATTTATTGTTGTGTTAGGTATGCTTTAAATTGATATTTATTTAGAAGACAACTTAAAACCTACAGAAGGCTTGTGGGTGCACCATGTGAGAGAGAGGGAGGATTGAGAAGTTCTGAAAAGGACTCTTGGTAATCTTTCTTGAGGGTGTGTCCTGAAAAGGACTGTTAGTGTAGTCTTGAAAAAGACTGTTGGTTATCTTTCTTAGCTTATAGTTCTGAGGAGAACTACATGTATAGCACTTGGAGAGGATGAGTGGCGGGAGTGGCTTGACGTTTCGAACAGGTTGACTATCGGTTGTCATGATCGAGTGGAGAATAGCTGGCGTGCGTGAGCTTAAGTCACCAGGCTGCGAACGTGGGGGAAAAATACATGACTGTGTGGGCTTGAGTCATCGGGGAGTGGACATGGATGGTCTGCTCGTCCGTCTGCCTATCCGTCTGGGCTGGAGTCTCCGGGTTGCGGACTTAGGGAGTTTGAGCGTGTACTATAGGATGAATGACAAGGAGTCTGGTAGTTTCTGCTCTCTCAATCAAGTTTTGTTTCCCTTGAATATGGTTTCTCATTGAAACGTGTTCCAAAGGAACCTGTACATAAAGACCACCTGCCTATAAAGACCCCTTTCCATGTTTCCATTGAGTGGTCTTTATATACAGGTTTAACTGTATCATGCTTATCGTTTCTTTATTCAATGTTCATGTGTAGTATAACCTTCTTGTAAATTATATAATCATTAAGTCATATCAACCTTCTGTTCTTCTTTTCACCTGTCCATAGATCTGGGCAAATATCCAGATTCAAGAAGAGACAAGTCGACTCAATTTTGATGTTGGAAAGTCGACGGCTTGGAAACCTCTCTTCACCAGTAGCTTCCCCAATCCGGGTCTCTCAAGCATGCAGGTAGGTTAATCTATGTACATGTATATATATATATATTTATATAGTGCAATAGTATAAAAATAATACACAGGTGTGAGTGCATTATTGTCGATGCAGCCCATGAGGGGATTCACTACAGTGCAATAAAACTCACGAGGCATAGCCGAGTGTATTTTGTGTCATTGTGAATACCAGAATAGCGTTCCATCGCCATGACGTCCTGAACGAAAAACTGTTTATTATTTGTTTTATAAAATGGGTCGACAATCTTACTTAGCAAGGCAATAACAATGTAAACCTGCAACCTTCATATGAAGTAAGGTGTGCACACAGACGATCGCGGCAGCAGTGGCCTCGTAAACAGACTGTGCAGTCCAAGGTGCGACTTCTCGTAGACATGCATTGAATTACACGCAACATGCATTATGTCTTTTTGTTGCACCTTTTTTGCACGACTGTTATCACCAAAATGCACTCCCCGTATAATAATGATCCTTTCTATTCTTACCTCTTGCAGGAGGAAACGCTACGTTATGAACAGACTGTACTGGACGATGTGGTGGATTTACAGAACAAGTAAGTGCAAAATGCTGTTGATTTGATGTCGTGACTTTTGATTCACTCAGAACAGGAATTACTTAGGGTCTAAATTGAGGAACTAATACTTCAACAAGCTCTGCTTCTAGTTAGTTCCTCTTTTCTCGTGCTATTTCTATTATACATGTAACTGTTGTTTCATTGTATTTTTGTTGTTATATACTTATTCATTGTATTAGGTTTTGCATGAGAAATAAAATCATCATTTGAAATTGATCACAGTCCATTATTAAAATCAGTGGCAAAACTGTTATTTTTTTTTATTGCTACATTATTCTTTAAAAAATGCCATGTACCTCAATATAAAGCAATGCCCATGAACAAAAACTATGTGATCTCTATCATGTGATCTCTATCATGTGATTTCTAACATGTGATCTCTATCATGATGTGATGTCTATCATGTGATCTCTATCATGTTATCTCTTTCATGTGATCTCTATCCTCCATTTCTCCGTCCCCTACAGGATCGAGAAGAAGCTACGTAACTGCATCATGGACTGGAGGCCGCGCCACATCACCCGCTGGAACCGTCATGTGATCCACACGTTCAGAGAGATCCTCAAGAAGCTGGAGAAGTCACCTGACCTGCTTGACAACGACAACCCCACCCTCAAGACCATCCTGGAATCTTACAACGTAAGGCACTTGGGTTTGTTGTGGGGTGTTTCACAAAGATCCCAAGTCGAACTTAAATCTAATTTGGACTTAAATATTATGGAGAGCCATTTTTTAGCCATAAAATAAAATATATTCAAAAGTGAAAATTCAAGTATTTTAGACTTTTTATAAATTCCACATCAAATACATGAAATCTCCTTGATAATAGAAAATATGAATGATTTGAATCAACATTTTATGCCTTTTGGAATAACTTTTGCAAAATATTTTCATAGATGCTAACGGCTTTCCATAATTGTTAGGTTAAACTTAGGATCTTTGTGAAACGCCCCCCCAGTAATACACAGTTAGATTTTATAAAGAACTTGGAAACATAGGGCAAAATACTATCATTACCTTTCAGTTCTTCTTAATTCATCCTTCAGTAAAAAAAAAAAAAATGCAAACATTAAACTATATATACAAAGCTTTTCAAGGTAAAATAGAACATACAATAAATGAATTCATATAAAATAAGAAGAATTAAAGGGGCCATTATTTAAAGCCTATTGAGGCTTGACAGGTTGATTGGCCCAAGAACTGGCACGTTATTAAATTGATATTTTGGTGGAAGAGAAAAAGCAAAGGCTGTTGGGGTGTTAAATTATAAAATTTAATTAAAAACAACTGATAAAGTGATGCGACCTATTAATAAAAAGATAACAGATATAATTTAAGCTTTCTTTTAAATGTTGTACAATATATAGGTACATGTACCTTGATAAAACACAAGACATTAATCTACATTTGCCACTCTCCAACCATGTGAAGTGAATGGGTACCAGGTAGGAAGAAATTCCTTGAATGCTTTAGCACCTTATCATGGCGGCGCAGCTACATGTACAGCTGGGGTGATAATATGATACCTTGTATTAAAGCCCCACTGTACTACTTGTAGCTATACTTGTGCCCTCTATATAAAAAACGATGCCTAATTGGTGACCCATGATCCTCTTTTTCTCATGTTAATTGAGAGCTGAGTTGATGAGATAGCCACCTGTCAGTGACCATGCTGTGTGGTCTAATCCTTCCTAGCCAAACTAGTACAGGCAGCCTTTAAGCAAAGTAGAGTATATTCTATATAAATATTTTATGATAATTATCGTTTGTGTGCCAACAAATTTCGTGTTGAGTGTGATAGTGATCATAATCTTTTTCTTCTAATTCCCTTTCTTATTTGATCTTCTTCTTCTTCACCTTCTTCTCCTTTTCATTCTTCATTTTTATGATTAATTAATTGATCCTTATCATTATTTCTTTTTTTCAGCTGTGTGGCTTCCCTCTCCACATGTCGTACACTGACGTCAAGACCATTGTGGACAAAGTTCAAAGTACGGGAGTCCACAAGAACGAGTCGAATAATGTTGAGTTTGCGCTTGCCGTCCACATCCACCCCTACCCCAATCACATCCTGTCTGTATGGATCTACCTAGCGTCTGTTACAAGAAGGAGATGATCGTAATGTAGCGTACAAGTTCTTTAAGTGGGACTGCACTACTTGTAGCTATTTGCGCTGTCTACGTAGCAAACAATGTCCAAGCGGAACGCGTTGGTCCCCCATGATCCCCTTTTTCTTATGTTAATTGACAGCTGATTTGATTAGATAACCACCTACCAGTGACCATGCAGGGAGGTCTAATCCCTCCTGGCCAAATTAGTGCAGACATGCTTTAACACTTGCTGGACAACAATTGCTCCAGTCAGATTATCATACAGTGGAACCTTGTTAAAGTGAACACTTTTATAATAAACTGTCATTATTACAAAATCTTGGTATTTCCCTGGTCTGAAGGGAATTTGTTAATTATTATGAGGTTCTAGCGTACTAACCAAATGTCTATGCTCAACAAAGTAGAGTTTGCGCTTATTCAAATCTAGCCTTATTCTATCTGTATGGATCTATCCGCCTTCAGTTACAAGAAAAAGATGATCGTGATGGAACTTCTTGGTTATACGACAAATGCTCTTGTGACAGTAGCTCAGTGATTGGGACTAGTATATACGATAGAACAGTGTTATAAAGAACACCAAATAGCCAACTTTCATTACGACACAGTAATTTTGCTGGTCCCACTTTTTGTATTCTACACTTATAGTTTTTGATC